AGAATGCACTGTGGCTTAGGGGCTTCCCTAGGGAGAGGGGTGGCTGTCATCTCTTGAGAGGCAGTCCTCTGGCGTGTCATAAGGTAGCATGTGTGACATGGTAGCATGTGTTGTTTCAGCTGAGTTTGATCTTGGTGCTTGCAGTAAGAAGAATTTGCCCACCCCTCTTCCGAATTCCATTGTCTAGGAGGTTTAGCTTTGTGTTGATCACAGTCATTTTTACCATGGGCCATTTGTCTAAATCGATCATATACTTCTCATAGCTTAGGAGGTGCATTCAAGGCTTAGTGTGATTACCCCCCTTCTTATTGTAATATCTTAATGCTTGCCTGGAGAAGAGGGGACTCTGAGAACCATGGCAACCATCTTCTCAGATTAATATGACCCACGAGTTAGCAGCCCAGCTGAGCTGCTGCAAGAATGAAACACAAATCAATACTGCTCTCCTACAGCCCTGGCAAACTGAAGGCAGGGGCTCTGTACAGGTACTAAATCATTTTTAATTGGCCCAGTGTTAATGCAATGTTGTAATATTATGGAATGGGATTGGACTTAACAGTTTGTTTTTATTCTAATTCCCCTATGGATAAATTGAATACTTTGTATATGTCATGTGCTCTGGAATTTAAACAGAATAATCGGTCAAGCCCAAGGTATAAAGGCAACCTGAGCTGAATGAACTGTGGATTGATCAATATTCTCTCTGATTTATATACAGCAATACATTTAAAGAACTGTACTGGGTTATGTAAGTTTTTGGGCTAGCGTGCCCTACAAAGGGTATTGTTCATCTCACCCTACAAAGGTCACTGTTTGGTGGAAGAGTCTCTTATGCTTGTCCAAAATGCTGCGTTTCCATTTCTTCAGAATCTCCTATTTAATAATGTAGGTTGCTATCATGCCATCGAAGCAGCTTCTCTCATTTAAGAGCCTGATCAGCACATTCTAGCCTGGAGCAAACAAATAATATAAACCCCAAGCAATCTCCCCCACAAGAAAATCAATACCATTACTGGACTTTATGTAAAATGCTTGTAAAGAGGCTTTTCAGTTGCATGGGTAAGGTCAGTTTTTCTAGTTATCTAACTAAAAGAATGACATATTTTTCAACTGATGACAACAGCTGTCATACTCAAAGTCTATGCTTGTATTTTATTAATTATGGAACAAGATAGATAAATTGGAAAATACTTAAAATTGTTAATTAAGTCATGGAATTAATTATAAGGGGATGGTTATCTTTAAATTCATATTCTAATGTATGCAATGAAGTTTTTTGGAGAAATTGATTTTTTTATGTATTATGGAAACAACCGTTTTGCTTAGACATCTAATTAAAAATAGTTACAGTGTTACATTGTATTTTTCTAATAATGTGTTGTTATAAAGGAAGTGCTATCTGTTGGCCACATTCACCCAGGCTAAACGTGTGCCAATGTTGAATTTTTGACTGATTCAGATATATAAACCTAATATCTCTGAGCTACTTGCCCGGGGTGGGTTGGGGGGGAGGGTGACATTACATTATTTTTTATTCTGTGGAAAATTAAATATCGATCTTTGGACCAGATTTAATAATGAATTATACACATGTCATGGGTCGCTACTTAGAAACCTCTTATAAATGGTGTATGAGCCATTATATTAGTAATTGTGTCTTTAGCTCTGGTGCTGCTAACTTAGGTTATCTTAACCAATACATATAACGCTCTGCACTACAAAATAGTAGTAAGGAGCGAGTTTCCTAAAAGTGTCATAGCACTAAAATCATCGGCGCAGCTCAACAATCATCAAGTAGTGCCTCTTTTATTAATATTAATGAGCCTACATTTTGATATTTGCATTTCGGTGCTATGTGATTCTGTATGAATGCAAGAGTGTGCAGACTGGCTCACGGCTAAAGGAAGGCTGAAAAATCAGCATTGCTCGGCCCTTAAGGACTTTGATTTGAAAAGCCCTGTTGTAAACCGCTTAACGGATCTTCTTCTAACTTTGCACAGGCATTTTATGGATGATGAACTACAACTGCTTGAATTTTGAGACAGATCGACCCGAAATTGAAGCAGCTCTGCATAGTGATATCCAAAAAAAGGAATGTCTCATTAAGACGATAACTCAATAACAATTTGATTAATCTTTTTTAAACTTTGCACCAGCATTGTTGGGGGGGGTGTGGGATGTTGAAACCATATCGTGCTGATAGCAAAAAGGGGCAGTTTTCACACTTGATCTCATTAAAACTTTTTTTCATAGATTTTTTTCAAACTTGTAAGATATGGATGCCAAATTGGAACTGATTAAATTTTGAGATGACCCCAAAACTGATTTGATGAATTTTATTACTGCTTCTCAAAAAGCATTATATGGATGAAGATCTGCACCTGGTTTCATTTTCAGACAAATTGCTCTAACAGTGAAACAAATGCGCTGTCCGGCAGCAAAGGAAGAAAATGGCTGCTGTTGACAATTGGTGCTATGAACACAGCAACTCTAAAAGTATTATACGGATCTTTTTCAAATTTTGCAGGCACATTGTAAGAATAACAAACTTGAATTGTTTAGACAGACTGCCCCAAAATTGAAGCAGCACCACATAGTGAGAACAAAAAAGATATTTTCAAACATTTCATGCACAACATCTCATAAAGTATTTCATTTATTTTTTTTCAACCTTTGCAGACATGTCGTAAGGTTGAAGATCTGGACTAGGGATGCTCATTTCGATTAATTTTCCCAACCGACAACCGGCGTTCGTTAACCGAACATTAACCGTTAACTGATTAGATTAGAATATTAAATTCCTCTGGGGTCGGCGGTCCCGCCGGCGGGATCTGACAGAAATTTCGCCAAACCATTTAAATAACTCTGCGAGGTTTTATCATATACACATTTAAAAAACACCCTCAGAAACCTTGGACGGTCTACTTTTCAAATATATATATAGGTAGAAACTAAATATATTTTTATATATGAACACAATAACTTGGCCCGATTGTATTTCCTCAGAGGCAGTTCCACAACCCTTTATTAATGCTTACTCCAGACTACATACTTTCCTTTGACCACAAACTACTGGGGTGGGGCATACAGTGATAGCTTATTCATAGCGTCGGTGCTTGTGGCCAACCTATCTTGGAAGGTACGTGGAAGTTCTGGGAAAAGAGATTACATTGCTGTCATTTCCAGCAGCACCAAATCTAGTTTAATATCAACTCCTTCTTTGTGTCTATTGTGAATTTGTGATGATGTATAAAAATACTCTAAGGCCATTTCATAGTTTTTCATGTGCTGTATTGTATAAGATACATATTATGTTACCCAGCTGTAAGCTGTGGCGAAGATCTAGATTTATCAATCCCAGCTGTGTTCAAATTAGCCATCATAACTAATGTCAATACTGATCTTATACATGAGAAAAAAAGAAAAAAAAACAATTGTTTCAGGTTTTTGGTTCTGTTTGCTGTACTGGGAAATGTAGTCATTAACCCCAACACCTAGATAAAATTTGTCAGAATCATTTTTTAATGTAGCTAATGAGCTTCTTAAAGCATGTGTTCTGCATCTGTTCCTCGGTGTGGCTTAAAAGATGACTTTGGAAAGTTTTGGATGGGAAGGAGTGCTGACTCAGGTTTTCTTTCTGTCCAAATTAAACCTCCCCGAAGCGAAGTGTAAACCACTCTCGCTGATGAAAGCTCCCTACTGAGCTGTGTTTTATCGTTGTGTCAGAGGTGCGACTGACGACTTCAGCATTTCTACTATCTAAACAGGCTAAACCACAACTGTAAAGGACACCCCACTGATTCCCAGAGTAGTTCATGTAAGATTATTACTTCCATTTAACAGGCAGGCTGTGCATTGTTGATTTATGTGCTTATGCATAGCGTCTCATGCTGCCTGCAGTTTTGTCTCTCCTCTTCCTTAAAGTCTAATGTTTACTTCATCAACTGGATTGCTTACCTTGGCTGTATGCTAGTAGTGACCCCACAAGACCTTGTGGGCCATTTCCATATATTTCACATACAGACATAGATTTGCGTGTATTTCTTGCTCACTTGGGAATAGTGTCATTGTGTGCGTTTCGATGAAGAGTGAAAAATTTCCCCATGGGGTCATTAAAACTTCTCTTATCGTCTCATGTTGTATCATGTCATGTCGTATCTCATTGTGTCATTTGTGGTGGCACTTCACATGGTCTTACTTGCCTTTTCCTAAGTATATCAGCAGGAGATTTTGATCTGGATTATCACACTATATGAACAAAAGTATTCGGGCACAGAATTGTCTAAAATGTCTTGGTATGCATATCAAGAAATATTTCACAGTTCTATGCTTCCAACTTTGTGGGAACAGTTTGGGGAAGGCTATTTTCTGTTCCATCATGACTGTGCCCAAGTGCACGAAGAAAGGTCCATAAAGACATGGTTGGGTGAGTTTGAACTTGACTGGTCCACACATGGCCCTGACCTCAACCCCTTCAAACACCTGAACTATAACAGAGATTGCAAGCTAGGCCTTCACGTCCAGCATCAGTAGTGGACCTCATAAATGCTCTTCTGGATCAATGGACAGAAATTCCCACACACACAGTCCAAAATTTTGTGGAAAACATTCCCAGAAGCGTGGCAGCTGTTAAAGGGAGGACCAACTCCATATTGATGCCTATGGATTTAGAATGGGGTATCATAAAAGATCCTGTGGGTGTAATGGCCAGGTGTTCCAATACTTTTGTCCATATAATGTATTTCAGTTGATGGTGTTATTAAATAGTATAGTTCTTGACAGCTTCTTGAGGAGCGACTGAATTGTTCCATTCTTTCCTTATACCCGTCTCTGTGGTTTAATGTGTTACAAATCACCCTCACAAGGTAAGCAATGATGTTAAGTATTGTAAGTGTTAAAGAGTTGAATTGCCTTTTAACTTCTATCAAAAAAATGAGTGTTGTTGGAAGTTTCCTGCCTTTTTACCATGCATTGAACTGCCCTGCTGTGTCTTTTAACAGGATGATGAAGTGGTGCTGCAGTGTGTCGCCAGCATTCAGAAGGAGAATCGCAAGTTCTGTCTATCTGCTGAGGGATTGGGGAACCGACTGTGCTACTTGGAACCCACATCAGAGGCCAAGGTAGGGGAACCAGCAAGATGGATCCTGTGAAAAAAAAGATGTACTGAAGTGACCAGCCCTGCATGTCTCCTCAGTTAAACTAGCTTTCAAAGCCATTGTAAGCAGTAATCAATCAAACAGTCCACATTTTCCTTGTGGGGTTATAACCTATGAGGATACATTGGTTTAAAAATAGATTCTGAGTCACCTTTCTCGCTGAAGATTCTAAACAGATAGGATCTTGTAAGATACCAGTTTGGTTCTACATTATTTCAATTAACACTCAAGTATTTCATCTGAAATTAATCCCTTTAATTAGCTGCACAACAGATAATGCCATGTTTTAGGGAAACCTGAATCCCTTGCAGTTCCCCTCTTCAGGTGCATGACAGCAGGTATAGAATCCCAATGTGGGGCTCCATGACAATCAGAGGCTGAATTTTCTCTGCGATTACCTGGGAAAAGAATGAAATGAAGAGATGGAAGGGTAGCAAGCCTGCATTTTACAGCTCAAAAACACAATGTTTCTGAGATGCTGCATTTTTCATCCCCTTTAGAAATGACTACGCTGCATTTGCCCTTTTATTCACCTGACTTTTATAACCACTTAACCAGTGCAGGGTCCGTTTGAGCCTGGAGTCTGTTCCCAGGATTCGCGGGGCAGAAGGCTGGGGACACCCTCTTCATTCACCAGTCCATTTGCTTTTGCACAATTCTAATTCATAATTCTGCCTTTTTAAATAGTCTAAGTATTTTTTTTACTCTGGTGACTGTGCGAAACCATAGATAAATGTAAATACATAGTATTTTAATTCATAATGCTTTTCTGATTTTGGACTAGGGCTGGGCAATTAATCGAAAATTAATCAAAACCGTAATTCCTGTCAGATAAATCTAACTACAGACACAGTTCTCTTTGTTCAATGAGTAAGAACATAAGAAATTTACAAATGAGAGGAGGCCGTTCGGCCCATCAAGCTCGTTTGGGGAGAACGAAACTAATAGCTCAGAGTTGTTAAAATCTTATCTAGCTCTGATTTAAAGAAACTCAGGGTTTTAGCTTCCGCTACACTAGCAGGAAGACTATTCCGTACTCTAACTACAGTACACGCTGTGTAAAGGAGTGCTTCCTGAAATTCATTTTAAAATGTTCTGCTAATTTCCACTTATGGCAATGAGTTCTAGTATTTAAACTAATATTGAAGTAGCCATTTGGCTGAACAGCATCCAGACCTGTTAGGATCATGTCCCCCCTTAGTCTTCTTTCCTCGAGGCTAAACAGATTCAGCTCAGCTATCCTCTCCACATAAGACATTCCTCTAAGACCAGGAATCATTCCCGTAGCCCTACATTGCACCCTTTCCAAGGCAGCAATTTCCTGTTTAAGGTACGGTGACCAAACCTGCACACAATATTCTACAGTAGGTGGGGTCTTACCAAGGAATTATATAATCGTAGCATCACCTCCCTTGACTTAAACTCCACACACCTAGAGATGTAACCCAACATCCTATTGGCCTTTTTTATTGCTTCCCCAGACTGGCGAGAGTGGGACATGGAAGCATCACCATACACACCGAGGTCATTCTTATAATCAGCTACCTTTATTTCAGTGGAACCCATAAAATATCTGTACTTTATATTTCTGCTTCCTGCATGGATTACTTTACATTTATCTATGTTAAATTTCATCTGCCAGGTATCAGCCCAGTCGCTAATTAAATCAAGATCCTGTTGTAGCCTCTGTGCTACTAGATCAGTATCTGCTACACCACCTACCTTGGTGTCGTCTGCAAATTTAACCAGTTTACTGTATGTATTGGTGTCAATATCATTAATGTACAGTAAATTAGGAACAATAGTGGTCCTAAAATTGAACCCTTCGGTACCCCACTATGAACGCAGGCCCACTGTGACATTGTGCCTTTAACAATTATGGTACTCTCTGCTTCCTGTCTGTTAACCAGTTTTCGATCCAAGCTGCTACAGTTCCTAAACTCCCTGCAGCTTTGAGCTTAAGCAAGAGCCATTTGTGGGAGAAAATATCAAAATATTTAATGTTTTTTCATTTTCAGTTTGGGGATAGATAATATTTTCACTATTCTGAGTGGAAAATTTAATATTGCAGCAATGTAGATATTTAGTCAACAGAAAGCAGATCTGTGTGAAATGACTGTTTTTAAAATTGTGGTTTTAAACAAATAAACTTGACTCCCCTTCTTTAACCCCAGATTATTATTCTCCCACAGCAGTGACCCTGTTGCATGCTTAGATTTCACACTTTGGTTACTACATTAATCAACATTTCTATTATCTATAAGAAATTTCTTCAGCATGCAATGCTGGTGGATAGGGCAGCACAGCGGTTTGCAAATACCTGTTTCTCTGTACCTTCCACAAAAGGAATCAGAAACGGTTAAATGTCTGTGCACCATATCCAGTGGTTATTGAAGCTTGCAGCAGTGATTCATGACTTCTGCGTGTGGTAGTTTGTCTTCATTGCCTCTTAATGTATATAAAATATCACCTTGCCATCGCAGGTCCATGACCCCTTCTGTTGGGGTGGAGATCATACGAAAATGTAATTGTGGGACAGTGTGCTTTGCTGCACATCCCTGGCTTTTACTCATCACTGCTCCTGACACCTGCTATTGTGTCCTGTGCTTTAGTTCTGGTACCTTGGTTTCTGGATGAGGAAGACCAGCATGAGTGGCTTCCTGGGGGGAAGTCTGGCTGCACAAGCATGAAGAGTACAACCCTCGCAATCCAGTTAGAATTAGTGAAAAAAATGTTGAATGTAAACCGTCTATTTTTGAGGTTGTTACACTTTTTCAGTTTTTCAGACTCCTGTGTCTTGCCTCTGATGGTTTTATTTACACTTTACTTGTCTACATGGTCTTTTCCAAGAGAGCTTGAATTGCTACTAAAAAAAGATTAATAGTAGGATTTCTGTCAGAGATGCACATCTTGCTACATTTGGACAATTAAAGGGAGTTTAATTAGTACTTTGGCATATTTTAATTACTACTTCAGCATATTTTTCGATGATTCTATGGAGACCTAAGGGCATCACATAATTACAATATAATGCCTATGATAAAGGTCCATTCATTGCTGTCTTACCTTTGGTGGTGCAGAAAGTGAACGTTAAATCATCTTTGGTAGTTCAGTATGCCATTCAGGCCTATATATTCTTTATTGTTTCCATGTCACCACATCACTAGTGCACTTCACTTCAGTGGACACTTTCATGTTAAGCACTGTGCCTATTGGGTTACCGATGCAGGAGGGGTCCGGGGTCCTGTTTCACGTTATCCTGCATTTTTCAGTTAAAGGAATCCTCTGCAAACACAGCTTTTGGTGAGAGGACACTGCATTTGTTTGACGTCCAGCAGTGAAATGGCACAGATGGCCACTGGTCCCCTGGGAATATCATAAATATTGCTTCCTTATCTGTAAAAAGTGAATGGAAGGCCATTTGTGGACAGAGAAGTCAGAGGTCTTCTGTGTTTCATCGCGGTCTTCCAGAGAATGTAAAGCTTGGAGGTTACAGCCAGGAGGGAACCTTGATTAGTAAATGACTGCCAGGCCGCCACCTCTTGACAGTCACTTTAAGGTAGGACCCTCCCTTATCACAGAACAAGATATAAAGGCTTGAATAAAAAGGCAGAGGAAACATGAACAAAGATGTTATTTATAATGTAGTGAGTACAGAAGTGCATCTGAAAATGGAATTTTTACCGAAAGGCATCTTTTGAAGTCACTCTGAAAATTTAGAAAATACATTTTTTCCCCTTCAACACCCATGAATTGCTTTATGAAGAACAAATCTATTTCTTCTGTGGTAAAATACAGTCATCAATGTCGCTGTTATTATTCCTGACTTCTCCTATATGCTCTTGATTCACGTGGTTGGGCCATATATCAAAAACTTGCTTTATTTAAAGAATCCCACTATTCCGTTAGGAAGTCTTCTGATGATTATCTTACCATCTTTTAATTTAAACTAAGCATTAAATGCCAAAACAATGTCGGAAGGCATCGATTTTTCACTCTGTCTCATGCACACAATATTGATTTGTGTGACATTCTATATGTGTAGGTCTGAAATGCATATCGACCAATGTTAAGCGGAAAATAGCCGCTACGCGAGTGACCACAGCAGTGGTGCGGTAATGGAAACTGACTGCTAATTTGTTGCATACTCTGGTATTTATCTGATATTTATCTTGTGTGGGCAGGTAGATTATCAGGGATTGGAGTGTGACTAGGGAAATGAGGACAAAGAGTTTCCCAAGTTACAAGCCATAGCACCTTGCCAGTAACCTCCTTTCCTGGTATTCCTAAACATATGGGGGTGCTTCCGCTTACTATGGAGTGCATCACTTTCTCTTTTGTTTGTCCCTTTTCTTCTTTACCTTAAACTGCTGGCATCACAGAGCTGACCTGTTAGCTTCGATTAAACTGGGTTTATGTTTTTCTCTTTTTTCGTATCGTCCAAATTTGATTAGCATGCCATTTTAGTTGTATATCTGCAGCAAAACTATGGTGAGCCTTTATCTGTGTTGCAGTGGTGTGACTCCCATGTTAAACTTAAGGGCTGCACTGTTGTCCCAGAGTGGCTGTTTTCTCTCAGTCAGAGTGAGGCGCAGCATGTCTTTATTTTCAGTGGCATCACCTGTGTTGATTGACTTCCTGACCTGCCCTGTGGGCCTTGGGGGTCTGGTTTAGTTCAGAGGAGTCAGTGAAGCCCAGGCAGGGCTGTAGATATGTGCTCCTATATATAAAGCCTTTTGTAACAGAGGCGTTAGAAGTTAACAGGCCTCCAGAGTTATTTGCCATCCCTTTGAAAATCCATGAACCTAACAATAAATGTCGTCAGGTGACGTGTTTTTCTTTCTCACTTGTGCAGGCTGCAGTCGTGTAGATTGGCTGAATTTGTGGCTCTAAATAATTGTAATTATCTAGGTACTTGCTGACACCACTGTGCTGGAACACTTCAGCACCTACGCTCAGGCTGAGGTGCTAATCTCTGAGAAAATGAACGTTATAATCTGATGCAACAAAATGCCATCAAAGATTCTTGGGGTGGGGCATTTAGCTGAAAGTAGTTTGGCAAGGGACAGTTAGAAATATTTAACTAATATATGTTTATAGGGGTGACACTGTTGCCTCACGGCACCAGGGTTAAGGGTATGCTGAAGACATGCGCTTAGGCTAACCGGCATGTATATGACCTGTGATAAACTGACATCCATTCCATGATGTATCCCAGCCTTGTGCCCTGTGCTGCTGCTCCAAATTGCCCTGTAACTCTGACCAAGATAAGCAGTCGGAAGATGGATAGATATATAACACTTCACTTAAGTGTTTTTCAGCACAAAAAGCAGATGGATTCTCTTTCGAGCAATTTGGGTGGTATCAAAGAAAAAAAAATCCAGTTTTTTTTTTTTTTTCCTTTGACAAACACTTTCACAATGCCAAATTGTCAGCCCTCTAAAATGACTCTGTTGTGTAAGTGCTGTTCTGGGATCAGTGTAAAATCCATTCGTATCCAACTATGTACAGAAGTCATCTGCACTTTAGAACAAACTGAGAGTCTCCTTTGTCCCATTCTCTGCAGTATGTCCCTCCAGATTTGTGCATCTGTAACTTTGTGTTGGAGCAGTCCCTGTCGGTGCGTGCCCTGCAAGAGATGTTGGCCAAAACCGGAGAGAACAGCGAGGGAGTAAGTATCATTGCCTCACCTCTGTGTACCTGTTGTAGCACATTTTCATTGGCACCGACAAAATTTTTTCTTATTGGTGTGAGTGTGAGTAAACGTTAATTTTTTAGATTTTCAATTGTGTTCTTCACAGTGTTCACAGTATTGCTGTATGCTGTGTTAAAAATGTGTGCACAGCACACTATCTGTTCTACCACTCGTATTTCCATAATAATACATAATTATGTAACAAGACTTAAAATGTTTAATCCTACCATCTGAAATGAGTTTAAGGAATTTCTCATTTAATTTCTCTCTCCCCGACATTTACTTGGATCTGTACTATTGCCAGTTTTTTTCAGAGACAAAGAAGAGGATTCTGTTATAACCAGGGCTTTGAAGTCTGGGTTATGTACCTGTCAAGGCTTTTTTGAATAACAGATCATTTGAGAACCTCATGATAATGCAGGGGATCCCTTCTGAACATCTTTTTCAAAAACGGCATCCCGTGACTTGTTGCTTGTATGATTTCCATTCTATGGCTGAGAAACTTAAGGCAGGTTTGCTTGCTTAATGTCTGAGCAACAGAGCCATCATTGAGGCAGTGAATTGTAATATATGTCTCTGTTTAACTTTATCGTTAATCCAAAGACCACCAGATCGGAATCAGCTGTCTACTGTGCAAATAGAGTTAATGCACAGCTCTACATAATTTGGGTAAATTATGAAATCGTTTACAGGTTTGTATAATACATACAGATGAAATGCCTTCAAAAGTACAGGGGATGTAAATCTTCCCTGACCAAGGTAATGTAACAAGAAAATAGTGGAAAAGAACTGGCATGCAACAGTGAATGTGGACTTTCCCAGTTTAAAATTACACTATATTTTGTTTTTATGTTCTTATGAATGTACCATAACATTTTTAGTTATGACAGTTTTATAAGAATAATCTTTAAGTTTTTTGCTCTAATCAGTCTTTTTCAGGAATTTATTTACTGTAATCTCTTTTTTGGAGGGATTTTAAATCAAAGTAGAATATTGTCTGCTACCTGAGCTTTCACCTGTGGCATACAGGCAACAAAAATGGAGGGATACAGGACTATTTTACAAATTTAATGCAGTAAAAATAGTATCAATGTCTAACCAGCACAACAACTGTCATCATGATGGCCCAGTTTGGTAATTTCACTTATTTTGGGTTCTTGACCTGATTGATTAATAGCTCTGGAAGCAACTGCCAATGTTAGAAACAGCAACTCTATGTATTAAGTGAAATATATTAACGCATTTTATTAAATAAGTTCATTTTTTTCTGAAGCTTTTATAGTATTTCTGTCATGTAAGTGTTCAACAGTGCAACACCTGCTAGCAGCCCTAATATAGTAAGACCTTCCTTTTGAAATTGTATAGGCCTGAAGTGCTGCATTCCAGCCATGAGGAACTGACTGTAGAGCCCCTGTATTAATGTGTCAGGCAGAATGTGCATATTCAGCATAAGAGCAGAGCCAGCACAGTACCATCTTTATTAGTAAACTGTCAGGCTTTACTTTTTGCACTATATGTTTGTGTCTGTGGATTTTCTGTGCCTCGCTGCTGTGTGCATCAAAATTTCCCCCTGGGATCAATTAAATATATCTCATCTTATATGAAATTCAGTCGAGTAAAAAAATAATTGGTGGCATGTTCGCTAGTTGGAATTGAATGGTAAACAGTGAAGTAGTTTTTTTTTCCCAGTTTCATTGTTGCTTCTCATGAATCTAAGATGCTGCTGAATGGGTCGCGGAAGCGTGAAACTGTGGCTGTACTGCTAAACGTACATTGAGCATCTTTGCTGCTTTTCTGCATTATCCTTATAGACATTGGTTAACTGGACCTTTCATGGAAGTGAACTGTGCCCAGTTTGTTTCATGCTTGCCTTCATTGGCCACAATCAGGCAGTAATGCTTTCATTTGTCTGTGCTGTATTATTCCAAACCTGCCCCCCACCCCTTCCCATGTTGTTAGCCACGTGACATGGATCAATGGGTATGTCCACGGCTCATTTTGATATATCATGTGCATGCAAATGCTCTCTTTTTATTTAGTAACAATCCAACATATTTTTGTATATTTTCCTCCATTGTTCCCACAACTGGTGTTTATTTTACGAGTCTCCTTGGTGCTGGGGTTAATAGCAGATAAGGCATTATTGGTAAGAGTTATGGAATGATTTGCATACATGAAGTCATCAGTGGATTCGATCTTGAAACACATTTCAGTTTCTCTTGTAGTGGCATTCAGTAACATGACAAGCAGAGAGTGGTATCCGATGTAGATAGGAGCTCCTGTGATACTTACAGATGGGAGGAAATGGTGCTTAATGAAATATCTGAAGCACCCCTTGCACTGTTAATGTGAGTGTGTCAAGCAACATTGCACACTTCGCCATACCTCTCACAGAGCATGTGCAGTTTAAAGATAAATGTGTCAGCATTGGCATCTGCCACTACACTCTGTATTTTCAGTCCATACTAATTACATTCATATCCCTTTGATCCATCACATCCTGTTCAGCTGGTATATGGTTGCACATTGTGACAATTAAAGGTGTACACCATCAGTGCTTCTAAAGCATCCCAATATTATTGCTACTGCTAAAAGCCCTTTTTCAGCACCTTGGAGTACTGCAACTTCAGACACACATTAGTGGCTGGGGTTGCTGTTCTGAACCATAACTAAAAGCCTCTAACTAACCTGTCTTAAAAAAAATGGAATCCCCTGTGTGACTCAGAGGGCATATTAAGTGTACATATCAGTTCCCTGATGTTTTTGCCTGCAGTTTTGTTAAGCTGTCTATGGATTATCCCATTGACGACTCTGATGAATACTCAGGAGGGTTATTCACAGAGCTGCAAACTGATACACTGAGCAGCTGTGCCGCTCATGGGACTGAGGCTGTCACAGAGATGATGGAAAGATTTTTCCTGATCGTTTGAATGCCGTACGATGGATGTTTTTGTTGGTATTACTCTTTGTGATCTAACTATTTAAAATTTCAAGGGTACCGAGGAGGAGGAAATGTTCTGGAATCTCTGTTGGTTCCAGAAAGTTTCTTTCTTTCTGTTTTAATTTTTTATTTTTGGGTTGTCGTTACAGAACGGAAAATGTCTTTGTGATTGTGTTTTTTTTGTGCTGGAATCGTAGGTCCCTGAAGTGGAAGAAATTCCTTCTGTTTTTCTCTTACCATTCTTAAGAATTACATTCTTGCACTAGTCTTTAATATTTTCACGTTAATATGAAACACAGCATTTTTCCCAAGTTCTTCTGAATTTGAAAATGGCATTGATAATATGGTCTGTCGACAATTTGTTGATTTATTTTAAAACAAAAGGCCAACAGGGAAGCCTCTCTCCATGAATTTAGGTTAAGGACTCTGATGAGTGAAAGCAGGTCACGCAGTTTTTTTCTGTCCCCCTGCTCACCTGCAGTCGGGTGAGTGTCTTGCATCACAGGGAGGAAATCCCTACTATCTAATGGCTCTACTTGGCCAGAGATCCAGGGGAGCTGCCACCAAGCGAAAGGTCACTGCTCCCCAGCTGTCAATATGTCATCTCCCAGCAACAGCTGGAGTAAAGATTCTATTCATTTATTTGTTTATTTATGGCCTTTGATTTAATACCCTTTTCTTTTTTTGGTTTTGTGGGTGAGCTACATACGGGTGATGCCATGGCTGAATGTCTATGTTGAGTCGCTTCCACGCAGCCAACAAACCCTATTCTAAGGGCTACAAGCCAGCAGGTTGTCTTTAATGTGATTGCCACCTTACAAATATATTTTTAAACACAATGCCGATCCCCCTCCACCCACCCATAGCAACTGAACTGTTCATTGAAACAAGAATATTTGTGAAGACACTACCTACACTCTCTTGAATATGAGGGAGGTGTATGTTCACCTTTAAATAAAGAAGTATCCCTTGTCCCCTCTTGATTTTTTTATATCCTATATGCAATGTTAAAATAAACACGTGTTCTTTTCTTCTACTTTGATGCTTCTCAGAGGCTCATCCGGAAGGTGAGTAAGTGTTCTCTTAAATGTACAATGAGCAGCGGCTGGGAAGCAGTGAGCATACTAAAAGTTAATGTACGATTCTCGTGTGACTCTTTGAGCTGTATCTGTGTATGTTTTGAGTCCCACCTCCCCCACCCCCAACCACACAGACCAAATGGATTTTCAGCCCTCTTTTCCTCTTCATTTCCTTCTTCTTCGGTACTGTGAAGAAATTTTTCCCGTTCAAACGAACGAGAACAGTCTAACAAAATAATGCGAGTGAGGTTGCATGCATTCATTGGTTTGAACCTGGATCTGACTTGGTGAGAGGTCGTAATTCACCTAGAAACTTTGGGATGGTTGTAGCTTTGGCTACTTTCAGTTGTGCCAGTCAGGTGGGGCAAGGCGGGTTGGTAGCAAAGGACAGTAGCCCTAGAGCCCGGCCTTCCCCACCCTGCTCATGGGTGACTAATCTGGATGTGTTTTTCTTTCAGGCAGTGCAGGGAGGTGGGCATCGGACCCTGCTGTATGGCCATGCAATCCTCCTTCGCCACTCCTTTAGCGGGATGGTAAGAACACATGGTGACTATGATGCCACAGTAGAAGGAGGATTGTATTGTTCTTGAATCCTGGTACAGACACTCCTCGCTTAATAAGCTACCTGTTTAATGACCGCCCGGACTTACCAGCTCTCCCACCAGTCGGTATTGTATGCTGGTCCTGGAAATGGCAGTGCGTCATCTCAGTGTCAAGCATCTCATCACCCTTTCTCAGTCTCAGTCTCGTTTCCGCAGTCGCTCAGTATTCACTACACTATGTTCGCAATCACCAAGACTACATATTCCGTCTATAAATTTGTATTGCCGGAGATTCAACCCGCATAATCGGAGCATCAGCGGTGAGGCGGGAAGCAAGGACATGGAAGCGAGGAAAATTTTGTTGACCAATTTGATGAAATCATCGAGATATGCAAATTAAAACAAATTTATCAACCTGGAGTTTCCTTTAGAGCTTTTCAGAATGAATAAAAATGATTACCTGTATTTACAGTACACAATGTATGTTAGAGCTGATTTCCTCCATTCTATTACAATATACAGTACACTGCTGTATAAACATTTATAAATATACTAAAAATGTTATAAATGGTGGTACAAAGGTGACATTAAAACACTGTCTAAAAATGGTTGACATAATCCCACTGCCAGTACAGTATGCTTGAAATATCGGCAAGGGGCGGCTCCTCGTTTATCGACCAATTTCCTTAACGACCTAATTGTAGGAATGGAGTGTCTATATTGTGTAACCAGTAATATTTTTTACAGATTTTTTTTGAAAGCTTGATTGTTTAGCAATTTCTCTTTTCCAGTACCTGACTTGTTTGAAGACTTCTAGGTCCCTAACTGATAAGTTGTCTTTTGATGTGGGACTTCAAGAAGATTCAACTGGTAATTTGCTTTGATGTGGTTATTACAACACTATTAGTGCTTTAATAGGTATAAAATAATTATTAGCATTATAGAGAGTGTGTGTAATCTTTAGTATTATTTGAATGATCCTCTTTTAGTTAGGTGCGTTTCTTTTGACATTGTAAAGACAAATAAGTTTGCCAGTGCCATTTTTTCAATTTTCTGTCAGTTTGAAGGCCTTTACATGTGCTCAGGGAGACCTTTCAAGTGTAGACTTGCTTTATCATAGAAGTCATTCTGTAGGTCATACTGTATAAGGCATTGTGGTAGAATGGTAATAGCTTCTAATTGCAAGTATAAGAAGTCGTGTGGTTACTGTGAGCAGCATGCTGTATGAACCTCTTGCCCTGACACCAGTTCTTTCTGCAGGTGAGGCTTGTTGGTGGACAATCCACCCTGCCTCCAAGCAGAGATCGGAGGGTGAGAAGGTGCGCATCGGTGATGACCTCATCCTAGTCAGCGTGTCCTCAGAGCGGTACCTTGTAAGTACACTTCTCCCCCTTTTTTGCCTTGACGAAATTCAGTATTAGTGCTGAGATCCTGTTTTGCAATGTAAGGAGAGATTGAAGATTTTTTTTCTTCTGCATTTCTAGATAGCAAAGGGAACGTATTTTAAATTCTGTTTTTCAGAAACAATGCATGAACATAGATATTGACACTTTTCCACATGCTCTGTTTAGTCCTTTGTACTGTGTACCATAGCATGTGAGACCCACCTTGTTTGTAGGTTCTCCTCTGTTATAAGGTACTGTCAATAAGTAGAGCTGATTTTAGTTCCTGTGGTTGTCAGGCACAGTTAAAATATGCACAGGCACTACTGTAGATGTGTGGATTTAAACACATTACATTTTTCAGGTTAGCCCTGTGATCAGTTGCCCTCAAATGAGGCTACCAGACAGTTGTTCTTGGAGGAAAAGCAATGAAACTCTTTAACATAGTGTGTGTTTTAGGTAACAGAGTATGACCAGCTTCTTTTTCTGGCACCAGAGACACATTTGATGGCAGTATAGTGGTTCGTGTGACAGCATCACTCAACCTGACACTGTATAAAAGTATGGAAAAGCTGGTGTCCTTTTATGGTTTTAATGTCTTATCCCAAAGTAATGATGATGCTGTTTGATACAACTGTTAATGCAAAATGCCATTTGGGTAGATAAATCCCTGCACATTTAGGAGTTACTAAATGGCTCCTCTTTCCCAGCACCTGTCCATCTCCAACGGCAGCATTCAAGTGGATGCCTCCTTCATGCAGACACTGTGGAATGTCCACCCCACCCGATCTGGAAGCAGCGTGGAAGAAGGCAAGTGTGACACTCACTGTCTTTGCAAATTTCTTTTTATGGAAATGTGCATCCCAAGCTTAGATGAGTAAATGCATAGTAATTAAACTTGTAAAGAGCATGTGTATCTGCAGTGACATGTACTGTATAATCCACATCTAATCATAAAAAATTAAGTATATTTGGGTAATGTAAAATGGGCCGAGTCAGTTTGCTCCAAGGTATTTCCAAAGTACTTAATTAAAATTTTGTGATAAGTGTTTCCATTACAAAAGTTATTTCTATTAAAATGACTCCCATGGGCAAATCAGATCTAATCTTTTGCCACTTGTCACTGGTTTTGAAGGAGTGCTTTGGTGTCATCACAACTGAGACCTTTGTCTGTCTTTGGATAGGCTATTTGCTAGGAGGTCATGTGATGCGTCTGTTTCATGGACACGATGAGAGCCTCACCATTCCTGGGTCAGACCAGAGTGAAGAGCAGCAGAGGTGAGTTACCGAACAGCAAACAAGGGCGTCGTTAGGTCTGATCACTCCGGGCTATTGCCCCGAGTATTTTAACCACGATGTCAATCTTCCTTCAAAAAAAAAAGTCTAGTCCCAGTAAACTTGACTTGGCTAGAAACAGCCCTGACAGGAGTGCTTTCCCAAATCATTTGGCTTTTATATCTTTTGAATATCACCTGAATAAATCTACAAACTAGGGATGGGCCGATCAACATTTTTCCAGTTCTGATCTGATTTCGATACACATTTTATTATATTTTAATATAATAAATATACATTAATAATTAATAATGCATTAATATATTAATACTTTATATGTCCATATTTTTAAGCTGGTAAATGCAGATGAGAAAATCTATGGCAAAAAAAAATCTTTAATAAGGCAACTCGAAACGTACATAACGTACTGCTCCACCTCATTTGTACGTCTTGTTTTAAGCATTTTTGAGGCATTTGCAATTCAATATGAATATCTTCCAAGCGAATGGTGGCGAATGTTTAAAATGCCACACAAGTTTTTTCCCACAGGCAACAACGACACTTACACTTCATTACAATAGCAGCCACCCCTGTATCACAATCTGTAGAACTGCCCATGCTTGCGACTCCCTAATCATCCATTACTTGTTTCATATTACTCATGTTGTCTCGCACAATTGCATGCACTACTCCCACCTCTCAATACTTTTTTACAAACTGTTTTTTACAAAGATTACAAATCGCTGTGCTACTAGTTGCTGCTAAAAGCGTAAAATACTTGCTGATCTTCACCATCTTATCTGATTTTCTCAAACTCCCCCTACAACGAAGTGTATGACATCACAGCTGGTGGAAGTCACTGCTCTCACACCCAGAATAGCAAAAAATACTGAGTGGCAGTGTTAGTGCTCAACTAAATAATTAAGAATTGGTAAGAGTCGGTCATGTATGGCAGATACCCAATCCGTGAAATAGATCTGGATTGGTCCTAATATCGATCCAAATATCAGATCACAAACTATATATTCTTGTTTTTTCATCCAATGTCAGAATGTTATATCCTGCTGTTTCTTTTCTGTTTTTGGGACTCCTATGATTTGGTGAAGTTCTGTACTTCAGACCCATTTTATGCAAGGTCCCATAGACCCACAGGATTATAGTCTTGTACAGTATAGTTAAATGCTCATTTTTGGTGGTTCCAATGTTTCTGTTTCCATGAGACTGTTTGAATGAGTAGATGTACAGTGGATCTGCAGTTTATTTGTACAAGGGCTCATTGTTATGTACCATTTGATATATTTTTATCAATATGTGTTTTCTTAGTATTTGCTTAAGTACCACCATTTTCTACTCAAATCAGATAGGCGAACTTTCTGTTCTGTCCATTTTCTAGCTAGTCTACCCCCCTGGTAAACTAAGCTAAATACAAAATTAAAGAAATAATGGCTTGTTTTGTAGTTTTTCATCTGTATTAGAGGCATATTGGCAAGGTGCCACATGTGAGCATAGTGCCCTCTGTAGGTCTGGAGGCCAAGTAGTCAGTGCTGGTTGTGTTCCATAGACCTTGGCACGAAAAGAAAGCAGAAGAGCCGAGACTGCCTGAGGCTGGTCGGCCAAGCTTGCTTTAAAAAGCCAGAGAGGAAAAGGCTTGGGGCATGACAGTATGGTGCCGTGACTCCTTGTGAGTTTAGTCCCTGAGGTGGGGAAGAAATGGCCGCTCTACTATCTATAGATGTTCTGCACCGGAGCTGACAGTAAACAGTAGGAAGTAGCACACAGACAGAGAAGTGGGTCGCTGTAGAAACCAGGAGAGGTATTGCCGGTCGGCTGAGAGGTGATAGGACCCTTCATCTTCTCTTCAGTCATGGGGCCTATTTTTAGTGTGAAGCCTTTGGCAAATACACAGCAGATTAAATATTGGTTGTCAGCTTTTGCATTACTTTTAGACATGTCCTTGAAATTTAATAGAGGGGACATTTTTAAAGAAGCTAAATTTTGACCAGGTCCATCAAACACATTTAGACATGTTGCTCATGAAAATTAAAGATTTTTTCATCTTCTGACCCTGTCATTCACATTGATGATGTACAGTTCATGTGTAGTGCTCTATGTATTTATATGTTCTCATTGATGGAATAAAGTGTCACTGTTGTAAACATGTTGGCACACATCCACCACAGGGTTAATGTGTCAGTGCGTTTCAAGCTAAAATGCTAGTCGAATATATAGGCTGTGCCTTGAAGCTGAATACCAACAGGTGAACTTTCTGGTTATTTTTACAGAATTGTGAACTATGAGACGGGCAAAGCAGGTGCCAAAGCCAGGTCCCTCTGGAGACTGGAGCCTCTTCGAATCAGGTGGGCTCCTCTACCCTCTCTGCATAGTATGGCATCTAAGGAAGGAAGTAGGATGTTTTATTTCCATTTTGATGGATTATGATAAGCCAGCTAGTCTATGAGATGCTTCTTGGGCTGTGGTCAGATCTGGCACAAAGATTTTGATTTGATCTCGAGTTTCAACACCAGGTGTGATTAGAGACCAACCTCCCTACATAAGTTGGACCGAGTAATAGTTGATATGTTCCTAAGAGTGTTATTTGTAATTGACTGTGGTGTTCATACTGTATATGTATGTATGTGTGTGTGTGTGGTGTGCGTGTGTGCTTGCATGCTGGGTGGGGTGTTGTCTTTGTCAGTTGGAGTGGGAGTCACATCCGCTGGGGCCAGCCATTTCGCGTTCGACACCTCACCACGGGCCACTACCTGGCGCTGACGGAGGACAGGGGGTTGGTCTTGCAGGACCGGGAGAAGTCTGACACGACCTCCACTGCCTTCTGCTTCAGACCCTCCAAGGTCAGTTCTGTCCAGGAGCCTCACAAGACCCTGGAGACATTTTCCTATGCACAGAATCCAAACAACTCCAGATGGTAGGGCCAACCAATGCCCGCTAAGGTCCCTGAAGGCTGGCACAACTGTGTGGCTTGCTAATATGTATGCTGGGCTTGAGAACAGTGTTATGAATAAAGTTTCCATAACATGAACTCCAATATGGCGGACCTGAACCAAGGTTATGATAATAATAATAATGGACAATGGATGGATAATAATAATAATAATAATAATAATGCATGTCCTATCCTTACTTTCTGCTGTTTTGCTCCCTGTTATTGTCCCTGTTGGTTTGCTGATCTTGTGAAGTCCCCTTTGACCATTCTCATTCCTATTGCACTATTTGGTATAATTAAGAGACTTTGTGGGTATTAATACTACTATGATTCGGGCACATATGTTTTAAAAAGCCTTTTTTAGACCTTTCGTTCTCATTATCAAGTGTGCAGTTCTCTGGTTTATCCATAACAGATGCAAGTTAGAGATGGATGCAAGCGATTTCTAGCAGTCCTAGACATTTTTCATTTGTTTGTCTGTCTCTCCCTATCAGGAAAAGGTGGAGTCCAGCCCAAAACGTGACATCGAAGGAATGGGGGCGCCGGAGATAAAGTACGGGGACTCGATCTGCTTTGTCATGCATGTGGCCACGGGGCTGTGGCTGTCCTACCAGGCTCCAGATGTGAAATCTGCTCGCCTGGGGCCGCTCAAGAGAAGGGTGAGCAATTTGAGTACTCTGTGAAGAAATGCCTTACATTCAATGCTTTGACAGCATTTGAACAGGAGCTTATTAATAATGAATGGTAAATCCGCCTGGGATGATGGGTCAGATTCCACAGGTCTTCATGGAGTGCGGTCACATGCTCTTTTGTGACGCTCCGCTGATGGAAAATCAGTGCTGGTTTGATCCATCAATGTCAATCCTTGTGCAGGCCTGCCTCCACTCGGAAGGTCACATGGATGATGGGCTGACCCTCCAGCGCTGCCAACATGAGGAGTCCAGGGCAGCTCGCATCATCCGCAACACCACCAGGCTCTTTAAGCACTTCATCAGGTAGCCAGCATCGCTCTTTAATGGCTATACTGTTCCTTAGGCAGAGCCCAGTCCTTCTCTGCCTGTCCTTTGCTCAAATGCTTTTACTGTTAACTTACAAAGCAGTTCTGTTAGCTACTGCTGTGAAATGTGTGTGGGGGCACTCCATTAAGGCTCCTCTGCAGCAGACATGTTTTCTTTGCCCCCCCCCCCCCCCCAATGACTATGACTCAGCCTCCCAGAAGGCAAATGCCCCGCCACTCTCTTCTACGCACCATGTTCTATCGCCAGAAAACTCAGTGGCTCTGCTGTCTCTGGCACCAAGCCTGGATCAGAACGTACACCACCCCCCAAATCTCCACCTTGCCCCATGATGTGACAGGGGGTATTTTTATCCCGTTGACAGAAATGAACACTTCAGCAGAAATTTACTCAAGGGCATTTAAGAAACTATGCTTTGTCACGGTCACATTGTGAATGTCTTTGGTTATGCTGATTTGCCATTCCTTGCTCATGGAATGCTTTCCATTTGACCCCACCGCCTTCCACGAAACACAGATGCCTTACAAATGGGAATTTCATGCAACTCTTGAACGTCTTGGCTCATCCCTGTCATAATTGCCACTGTTATTCCAGTTATACCCTAGTCCAATGCGTGGAGACATCTTCATTGTCTTTTCTCATTTTCTCACTCTGTCCCTCAGAGACTTGGACAGTTTGAGTGGAAAGAACCGTGCGGCTGTCGCCCTGCCTATTGAGGAGGTCCTGCAGACTCTGAATGACCTCATCACCTACTTCCAGCTGCCCGATGCCGAGCTGGAGCATGAGGAAAAACAGAACAAGCTCCGCTCACTCAAGAACCGGCAGAACCTCTTCAAACAGGAAGTACGTCTGGCTGTACCGAGGAAGTGAGAAATGCAGATGGAGCTGTGCATTATTCTGTACATAAGGAAAGCACCTTACTGTACATGTGGGCGGACACAGCATGCCCAGGATGCAGAATCAGAACCGACTATATTGGACTGACATTCAAAGGGAAACCCCCTGTGCTCCCTGTATTGGTAATGTTTCAGTCAATTTTAGTAAGAGGCCATCTAAAATAGCAACAATCGGTCACAGACAAGAGAAGACATTTTACAGAAGCAATGGATTTCCTTGTTTTCTGAATCCTAATTTACAGTGTTGCCTTATAACTATAAGCTGCTTTCAAGTGATATGTTAATCTCTGACTGACAGCAAAGCAGTATAGCTTTGATCGTAGTGCTCCCAGGCCCTAAATTGCGCTCATTAATTTTGAAATGATCCTCCCTCCCCAGAGACATTCAGTTGCAGCTGTAATGTTGAAGAATTCAATGTAACACAGTTTTATTGCCCCAGTTTCACTCAGCATCCTGGTTGGTCAAAATAGCAATTAAACCTACTATTTACTATAAGTATTATGAGCTTTCTGCTGAGAGTAACACATATCAATTCTGTATTTAGTCTTCTACATTATTCTAATTTTGATTCCTTTTGTTCAATTACTAGCAGTTAATCAGAATGAATCTTTTTTTTATCTGCCAAGTACAGAAAAGAACAAGGAATTTCTTTTGGTCTGGGTGGTGTCATGACTTATGCAAATTAAAAATCTAAATGTAAAAGTACGAATAGTAAATAGAATAAAGCAAAAAATAGGTCTTTTTCATATATACAGTATGATAAAAGATATAATTAAAAACAAAGTAATAGAAAATGATATAATAATTGATCCCCGTGGGGAAATTGTTTTTACGCCTCCCTCAACTTGCTCTTTGTAGAGTAAGTTGTCCGTGAAGGGCAGCCACCCGTTGGGGCGCCCATGTGCAATGATGTGACAAGGATGTGGACAAATAAAGAAATAATAGTAAATATAAAGTGAATAAATGTAATGTGCAAACAGCTTGGGTATAGTGCAAACGAGTCTATAAGGGAATGAAACTTGTACAGTGGGTGGTGAGATTATGAGACAGTTTCTCATGGGGCCTTAATTAGAGGAGCAATGGCCTGACGAAAAAAGATGTTTAGGTGACGGGTTGGTCCTTGTGCTCAAGACATCATTCTTGAAATCGTTTTTCATTAGTCCTTGGCCTTTCAGTCTAAATTGAATTGAATTTGGTCCTGATTAATAATTAATTTAATAATTATTATAATTTTATTAAAATATTCATGAAATGTTTATATGTCAGTTTGTCATTTCTGTTAATTGACAGAGACTGTTAAATGTTGCAGATCGCCAGCAGTTTGGTGATTATCACACTTTCTCTCCCGATGCTCTTTATTCATCCTCTATGACTCAGAGCCTGTCCTCATGCCTGTTATGCCAGCGCAGAGGGGTGTGGATGTGATGGAAGCTAAAGCTGACGTTGGACAGGGCAGGTCACCGAGCTGACGGTGTTTGTGTTTCAGGGAATGCTGACCCTGGTGTCCAGCTGCATTGACCGGCTGAGTGTATATAACAGTGCGGCCCATTTTGGGGAGTGCGCTGGGGAGGAGGCCGGTGCAGCTTGGAAGGACATCCTCAACCTCCTTTATGAACTGTTGGGTAAGATGGGACAGCAGTATACACTCTTTCCATACCTTCCATTCGCAGTTTGTGGCTGGGGAACATATTGCCCATAAGTGTGTCACATGACTTCCTGGTTCTGATAATGTGGCAGGACTGTTTATGTTGTTGTTTCAGAACTAGTAACCAGCTGACCCACTTTCCCATTGTAGTAGCTTCACTATCAACACACCCAGTGAACTAGCAGTTAATCCCTATCTGAGGTGCTAATGATGTTTATCTGGAAGAGGTGTGCAGGTGATACCAGCCCTTATCATACGTAGAGATTTATATGGACTTGCTCTGGGCCTGTGTAGTTTGTACTGTAATTTCTCATTCCTCATACAAGGCTCTCCATCCCTACAAGTGCTGTGGAGGATGTCCTTCATACTGAGCTGACTTCAGATTATTGTATTTCATGGACCAAATTTCTGTGCAGGCATTAATGCATTTTATATTCCTATCATGCGGCCAGCATTTAATACATTTAAAGACTCTTCTTTTGCATTGGTTTAGGTGACCCTGCCATTTTGCTCTTGCTCAGTGCTGTGCCTTCCTCAGTAATTAGCTGGGTAATTAGTATGCATAAAGGCATGAGGCTATTTGGGAGGTGTGTTTTTTCAGAGGTGTGTTTGTTTTAGCTAATTTGCTATTTTTTACCTGAAATGTGGGGGTTTATAAGTAAAGTGTGTTTTATGTTTGCAGACAATCCAACATAGAATGTCCTACAGAGTAATATCATAAAAATTAACTCTTGTCATTCACGTTCAGCTGCCCTCATAAAGGGGAACAGAAACAACTGTGCCCAGTTCTCCCAAAACCTGGACTGGTTGGTCAGCAAGCTTGAAAGACTGGAGTCATCCTCAGGTATGTCACAGAGCTGCCAACCAATAGCCTAGAAATCCCCAGTGTTGCCTTACTATCCTAACCCCGATTACCGTGCTTTAGTCCGTTTGAGAACTGCTGACATTTCAGGCTATAGAGAGGAGGTGCTAATCAGAGATTAATTGTGGGGCCACTAGCTCCTGTAATAGTGCCAGTGCCTTGCAGGTTTGACTTTGCGGTGGCCTCCTGTCCCTCAGCCTGGGTCCATTCCAAGCGATCTGGCTAGACAGGGCCACACAACTGGCTTTTTATAGCTGATATGCTTGCTCTGTGATATTGATAGGGTCTTTAACTGGGCTTCTACCATATGTGAACATTTTTGTGATAAAGGCTGACAGATATCTGGGACAGTCTTTGCTTCCACCTCGGTCGCAAGAGAAACTTCATCTGGCCTTTCAATCTCAGGAAGTCATCTTTTGGTTAAAAAATACCTTTTTTGTTAAAGATGGTTCTTTTGCCTTTTGAAGGAATCCTGGAAGTCCTGCACTGCATCCTGATTGAGAGCCCTGAAGCTCTGAACATTATCCAGAAAGGCCACATCAAGTCCATCATCTCCCTGCTGTACAAACATGGGCGTAACCACAAGGTGATACACAGCGGTGTTGAACAGATGCCTGGTGCATTCTAAACACCACCACTCAGCATACAGGAGAATTTTGACAACTTGAGAGTAGTGGGGAATGAATAATGATATGGACAGTCTGCTTGTGTGTATAGCAGACTGCGTCACCTTAACCTATTTTCAGTGAAACCCCTCTTTTTTATGCAAAGGTTATGTTATCACATTATATTTTGGGAGAAGAAAAATGTCAGCACCAGTAAAACAGGGCATCCATACAAGAGCAAAATGACATGAGGTTAAATGTTAGTATAAATGGAATAAGCACTGCAATTAAAAATTATTTGTCATGCAAAAATAGGGCTTGGAAAAACACGGGGTGTTAAGCATTTATTTTAAGTTTTTCCTACCTTGGCTCACTGTGCTTTCATTTCTGGATGATTCAGATTCTTGATGTGCTGTGTTCTCTGTGCGTCTGCAATGGGGTTGCTGTGCGAGCCAATCAGAACTTCATCTGCGATCACCTGCTTCCCAAAAGAGATCTGCTTCTCCAAACGCGATTGGTTAATGACGTCCAGAGGTAACAGGCCTGTTATGTGTGGTTTTACTATGTGACATGATTTTATCAGTAAGTAAAAATTTGTCGTGAGATATCTTCACTTTGACTTACCTTTAAAAACATATTGATATTCATAGAGAAAGCTTTGTTTTGCTTTTTTATACTATTTTTGCTTAGAGTAACTGCACCCTGGCTTTCTTTCCCTTATAGCATGAGGCCCAATATTTTCCTGGGTATGAGTGAAGGTTCGGCCCAGTATAAAAAGTGGTACTATGAGCTCATGATTGACCAGGTGGACCCCTTCTTGACCAGTGAGCCCTCCCACTTGCGTGTTGGCTGGGCCAACAACAAAGGGTATGCCCCTTACCCTGGGGGTGGAGAGGGCTGGGGGGGTAATGGTGTGGGCGACGACCTCTACTCCTACAGCTTTGATGGACTGCACCTCTGGTCCGGTGAGTTTTGATTCTTCTCTTCAGGACTGATCAGCTTCAGTAAGGCAGGTCCAGCTGCTGTAACGCCCCCTTGCTTTGAATGTCACAGGACGCGTTCCACGGGCGGTAGCCTCCATTAACCAGCACCTTCTGACCTCTGATGACGTGGTGAGCTGCTGCCTAGACCTGGGTGCCCCCAGCATCTCCTTCCGCATCAATGGGCAGCCCGTTCAGGGCATGTTTGAGAACTTCAACACAGACGGCCTCTTCTTCCCCGTCGTCAGCTTCTCTGCTGGGGTCAAGTATGTGCACATACTTCACACTCCTTCACACATGATCAGACAAAGACAAGAATGAATGATTACGCAAGCTCGCAGGATTTTTTTAACTTCTTGAAAATTAAAATTGCTGTTTCTCTCCCACACAAGGACAAACACATTTTAATAAGCACAAATGCAAAAGCTACTGATGCACTTTCTACACTAATGCACACATCTTCCTTCCATCTGTTTGTGTGCTGGCACTGGTTTTCTAGCTAAATGTCAGAGAATTACTTTGAACGCAATAAAAAACACAAGTATCAGGCTATTTATAGAGACTGAAGCTAACATTCTGCACACAGGTGTTGCTATGGTTACTTCAGATTATTTGATTGGCATGCCTGCGGTAGGAATTTATAGCTTCAGCTGACTAACATGGCACCTATGATCAGCCCTGTGCTCTCCATACTTCTTCTTGTGTGGTTAACGTTAGCCAGGGCTCATGGCTTCAAGGGGTATGTCATTGAATAACTTTTGGTTTTTGTATTGCAAGCCAGATTTGGAGGTTTAATAAAGAGGCTATGCCAGTAGTAAACAATCCATTGAGGACCCCACTCTGTAGGAAATGATCCATCGAGGGTCCCACTGTTTAGGAAATGATCCATTGAGGGCCCCACTCTGTAGGAAATGATCCATCGATGGCCCCACTCTGTAGGAAATGATCCATTGAGGGCCCCACTCTATAGGAAATGGGTAGTAGTTATGTTCTGGTCTTAAATAATTCATTGCTGTGCAGAGTTGAGGGACATCAGAGTCTCTGTGTATCTGTGATGGTGTAGGTGGGGATGGTGCCACCTTAGCAGGTCTGTGCCTGGGTGCCGGGTTCATGAATGCCTTTGGTTTCGCACTCATGCTACCGCAGATGTATCACTGAGATATACGTAAAGGAAGTTAACGGCAAGTGCTTTGTGATTCGTTATGCAAAAGGAATCTAGTGTCAGCAACCGATGATAGACCCAGTAGTGGATTTGGTCTTTTCAGAGTGCGTTTCTTGCTGGGGGGTCGCCATGGCGATTTCAAGTTCCTTCCCCCCTTGGGTTACGCGCCATGTTATGAGGCCTTGCTGCCCAAGGAGAAGATGCGGGTGGAGCCAGTGAAGGAGTACAAGCGTGATGTAGATGGTGTGAGGGACCTGCTGGGTACAACCCAGTTTATGTCCCAAGCGTCCTTCATCCCCAAACCTGTGGAGACCAGCCAGGTTAGCATGCCTCTCTATGTGCACATGTATACATGCAAGGCAAAACAGGCTAAACATCCTCTTAGTTATGCTGGTGATATAGTCATACTGTTGGCGCTGCATTGTGCGCATGGGAGGCCTTCTGCAGCAGTCCTATGGTATGGAGTCACATGTCCTGTTTTCTTAGATCGTCTTGCCTCCACATCTTGAGAAAGTTCGGGACAAACTGGCAGAAAACATCCATGAACTGTGGGGTATGAATAAGATCGAGCTTGGCTGGTCTTACGGTAAGGTAGGTACACTCTGAAATAAGCATGACAAACCCCATGAGCTCTATGTATGAACACCAGTGGAAAATGATCAATATTGCATATTCTTCTGTTGTGTGCAAGTTAATCCATATTAAGTATCAGCATTGTTATTACAAAAGGGAAAATAATGGGGATATCAGTTACATATTGTACCTTATCACGTTGCTAAATCCATAAACACAGTTTGGAATGGGGGGAAACGATCAATTCTCATACAGTATATAAAGATTTAGTGTGTCAGGGTCAATGTGAAATGCAACTACTTGAAGGACATGAGTACATAGAGTATGTTTTAGGATTAAGGTTAAGATATGACCTGCATGAACTTAAATCTAATCAATTTCCAATCGTTTTTTCAATCGTTTTGAAGCTAAAAAATAAAAATAGCTACGTCATTTTGCTTTCTCTTTTATAATTTGCGGTTCAAATTAAACAGAGGGTAAGTGGAAATAAAATAAGATTGTTTTCCATTGAGCCATTGTCATCAATTGTTTACAGAAATACTGCATTAGTTTGCTTGTAGTTGCCATACCTCCATCTTTTTAACATCTATTACACAATAGACTGGTGTACCTAACCTCATGAATAATCAACCGAGGACAAGACTGGAAACAAAAGGTTAACAGCAATCAAAATCAAGGATATCATGGTCTGGCGAGGTGGTATATAACCAAAGTTAGTTCTGTCTTCACCCGTGTTCCGCTGTAATAAGTTTGGTCCCATTCCCAGCTGTTTTCCTTGTTGTAATAATTCAGTTAGCCTTTTCCCCATCAGATCAGTCTCTTAACAACCATTCTGGCTACAGCTAAATTTTAATAAAGTCCAGTTTATCACAAGCCAAAAGTATGGGGCCATGTGCTGTCTGATTATGGGAAAAGTGAAAATCTGGCCAAAAAGGGCCGTGTTGCAGTGGATCAGCTTTTCTGCACTATGTGCCCTCCGCCCCTGTTCTCAGTGTAGTCCTCTATGACGAATCGCTCCATCTGTAAAGCTCCCTGCCTTCCAAGATTTTAATAGGCAACTTCTTTGGGAGGGAAGATATCTGTTATGTTAAGGTCATACTTTGTGTTCATTAAAACATTATTTTGGAGCCACAGCTATTGCAGAATTGATTTGATTTCCCTTTTTAATGAGACCTTCTTAGCCCATAGAAGTGCTAGTCTAGCCCTTGTAGAGGAGATCTCCATGATGTGTGTGGGACTTTTTTCCTAAAGGTGATATCTTTGAATTTTGTGATTCCTCATCTCCTTCATTTACTGCTGTTGTATTATCTGCTCTGTTTCCTTGGGGGCACCATTAGCTATTGACCATTTCCATGTTTTGCGTGATACCTTGTTCTCTACTAACACAGTTAGACTCAGAGAAACCCAAGGGCCTAATTGCATTTGTTAATAGTCAGCATCTGTGTACCCCAGAGTGCCCTGCGCACACAGTGTCCTCTGCATTGCCAAACCAGAGCTGCAGCGTGAATTATTTAAATGAAGTGCATTTATGCATGAATACATTTTCCACCAGCACCGTTAACAAGTTACGCCGCAGTGCCACCACTCTCACAGAAATGTATTTCTCTTGTTCAAGCACTAAAAAGCGAAGAGGGAAGCTGACTTGTCAGGTGTAGTTTTAAGTGAGAAGATGATGATGTACAGGCCCTCTAATGGGCCTGGGGCAGCTGTCTATTATGAGCACTACAAGTTGCACTTCTTCAGTGGAATTATCCTAGGCAATTGGTGTTCATTCAGTTAGTACAAACAGCTGCTCACCTTAGACGCCTTACAGCGCTGAGCATATTTGTGGTGTGTTTTCTTGGGCAGTATTAATCTGACACTGGAGCAGCTTCAGCCTGGTGTACGAATGGATCATTTTCCAATACGCTGCAGTATAAAACACAGAAAACAAATAGTTTTAATCCTGACTTGGCAATATGAGCTGTTTGCTTACATATCATTCACCAAGAAAACCAGCTCGCATGCATCCATGTCATGTCCACTAGAGTAGTTTCAATTAGGCTTGTAAAGAATAATACTCTTACTGTGTTTGTGTGTGTAGCCGTAATATTACCATCCTTTCATTCAACCTTCAAATGCTTATCCTGTTCAGGGTCATGGGTAGGGCTGGGCATCGTTCAAAATTTTTCGTTACCAGTACGAGTACGATTCCTTGATTTCAATACCAATGCCTGAACAATGCTTTTTTCGATACCAATATGTTTTTAAATCAATTTCAACAACAACAAGAATACATTAAACATTACAGCAACAATCTTTTATTTGAACAAATCGTTTTGTTAAGTTATTGGTTAGTTACTGGGGGGATCGATCACGATCATAACAGGACACAGCCTTTTATCTATATTTCACCCGGGCTCTTCAGTTTCATCAAAATTTTGGAGTGCGATTATATCTGTTAGGGATGCAGCGTGTGTCTCACGGCCAATGTGTGACACTTTAGAGCCTTGCCTACTGCTTTCATTGGCTCTTGCTCTGCCACTCAGTGTTGGCAACTTAGCAACTTTGTTGCTATATTTAGCGAGTTTTTAGACCCCTCTAGCGACTCGTTTTCAAAAAAGCTACTAGAGACAAATCTAGCGAATTTTTCTGGTGTTATTGGAGACTTTTGGAGACTGATCTTGGCTGATCCTGCCCTGGCTTGTCAAAACTCCGCCAGAGTGTCTCTTTGGGGTCACTTTCGCCAGTCCCAAGTCCGGATAAAGGAGGACGGTTGGAATTGTGATATACAGCTCCTCTACTTACGAACGTTCAAATTACGAACTTTCAGACATACGAACGAAGAGAACTGTAAATCCAAATTGTGTTCATTGGGCTCCCGTTTCCTGTCCGCAATGTCAGTTTTTTTTTTCTGCGCACCAATTCCGCCTAGTACAACTTCTGGCCGCTACTCCCACTGTGCAGCAGTGTAGCGTGCATATTCCCAGCATCCTAGTTCTTTGTACTGGTGTATACCCTTAAGACGATGTTGAATAACGACTTATGAACATTTCAAGTTACGAACGGCCAATCGAAATGTATCTCATTCATAAGTAGAGGAGCGTCTGTATATATATATATACTGTAGATATATATTTTTTTTAAAAAACAGGCGATGGCATCATTTAGCGACTTCTAGCGACTTTTGGGACAGCTAGTAGCTACTTTCCTTGCTGAGGAGTTGGCAACAGTGTTGCCACTTCCACTTTGTCTGCGCTCCGTGTATGTGCATCCATATAATAACGAGCTTGCAGCGGGATCACATGTAACTTATTTTGGAAATTACCTGGAAACAACAAATGCTATTTTCTGATTGCCTGTTAGGTAGCTAGTAACTCTGTATAATTTGATCGGGACAGCTATGAAAACTAGCTTAAAACTCTGTATACCTGCGCCTCGTCCGTTAATTCTATATAACGGGACACCTTGGAGGCGTTATCCTTTACGTCTCAGTGTGAGAAACACAAGGTGTTTCTATGTTAGACAGCCAATCACCAGCAACTTTAGATCTTTACTGTTTCGATATCGGAATTTGGCACCAAAAGAAAATTATTTTTTTGATTTGGAGCATTTCAGTCAGTGCCACAAAAATGCAGAAGTTCGGTACCCAGCCCTAGTCATGGGGTAATATTTTTTTGTGTAATGGTAATTAAGAGTAATTTGTTTAATGTTCAGTAATATTAATATGGATGTTTATGTTGTTGAGTTTGAAAGCAAAGAAAGAATTTGCTCAAAAGCCTAAATATTAGTGGTGTAATAGTACACAAAATCACGGTTCGGTAAGTACCTCGGTTTTGAAGCCATGGTAGGTACATTTTCGGTACAGGGGGCTAAAAGAATCAAAACATAAATTGCTTCTTTTTTAAACAGTGGTTTACTGAAAAAAGTATGACTGTCTTTCTTAAATTAAAAAGTCTCTGTCAATACTGGTGTGACCTACTAATAAAAAACAAAAAATTACTTAAAAGTAAATCAAAATAAAAATTCTCTCAAGTAAATAAAAAAAAATATATATCCATTATGGTGCACATTTAGAAAATTAACTGTACCTGATCTGTACTGTATTCACATTAGCAGCTTTCAGCTTCATATTACAACTGTGCAACACAAATATTGTCTCAAAAAATACAAAGAATAACAAAATAAATAACCGTTATGGTGCAGCAGTTAAAAAAAATACCAGTGGTATACTCACCTTAACAGCGTCCAGCTTCACATAAGGACATACGCGCATTAGTGCTGTGGCTTCATCCGCTCCTTTATGAAAGTTGCTCAGGGGAAACACACAAAGGTTCTGTATTTTCTGCATTCAGTACATATGTGTACCGAACTGAAATATACTGAAATATACTGAAATATACTGTACTGAAAATTTTCAGTACAAATATGTGTACTATTACACTCCTACTAAGAAACCCTGAACTTTGGTAGTGGCAGTTATGGTTATCTAAAGGAATTATAAATAGTGTTGGCTTGCCAAAAGAGGAAATTGGAGTCCATCTTCTGCGGACAGTGGACAGTTTAGAGTTATGGTGTACATGAATGAGGACTTGTATTCTTTATAGGTGAGGGATGACAACAAGAGACAGCATCCATGCCTGGTGGACTTCTCGAAGCTTCCTGAAACTGAAAAGAATTACAACCTGCAGATGTCAACTGAAACGCTGAAGTAAGTTCTCGGTGGATAGAGAGAGGGAAAATCCTTTCAGGGTGGGCCTAATTCATTAGCCAACGTGACTGAACGATTGCCTAGAGCAGAGGAAAGGGAAACACTCTGAATGAGATACCACGCCATGGCAGAGCACACACACCCACACATCATGGGCAGCATAGAGAGTCCAGCTCACCCAACAGCGTGGGCTGCCATAGATTATGAGCGGACCCCAAGAAAACCTTTACACAGTGGGTGGTATTGAAACCCCCAAGGCCACTGTTCCACCCTAATTGCATTATTTTTTTTAGGACCTTGTTGGCATTGGGCTGCCATGTTGTCCATGTCAATGTCGACGCAGAAGATGATCTGAAAAAAATGAAGCTTCCCAAGAAGTAAGAGTCTGAACAGGACTGTTTGTAGTCTAGTCCCACCCAGCTAGGTAAAAAGAAATGTACCAGAGTTTACATATCAGCAAATTGTGTATTCATATACACATTACAAGGAATGGGATTCTTTCAAGCTTATTATAGACCACTTGTCCAGATAATACTTTGTCACCTGATCACTTTGTCTCTCTTGCAGCTACATGATGTCCAATGGTTATAAACCCACACCGCTGGAGCTTTCCGACGTAAAGCTGACACCTGCTCAGGAAATTCTGGTCGATAAGCTGGCTGAGAATGCTCACAACGTTTGGGCGAAGGACAGAATCAAGCAAGGATGGACCTATGGCATTCAGCAGGTGATGGCCTGCAAAGCGACACATTAATTATCCTGCCAAGCTGTGCATGACAGTTGGGATGTGAAAAGAACTGAGGCTCACGGTGATGATTTATTTCAAAGAGAATCTGATAGCGAAATTTCTTGGAATAACAGATTCAACATAAGCGACCATATGTAACGAAAAAATGACACCCTTTTATCTGGATGTTTTGAAAATACCATTTCTAACAGTTTAACCTGTTTGATCTATATTAGAAAAATACACTCATATATCACATTGATTCATAATTTTTGTTTTTTGCTTTCACAAACTGAACATTAAACTATAATTTCACATGGGTGCACAAATGAAGGAAACAACCAATTAAGTATTCTTTTATGCTGAAGGGACTGTCAGCTCACTCTTAACCACCCGGACTTACTGTAGCACTCATGGGTAATCAAGGCACTGAAGCACAAGAGACTGGAAATTGAAAGATGTCTTTGTTTTGTGAAGGATTTGAAGAGCAAGCGCAATCCTCGCCTGGTGCCATATGCTTTATTAGATGAGCGCACAAAGAAGTCGAACAGGGACAGCCTCCGTGAGGCTATCAGAACGCTGATTGGATATGGATACAATATTGAACCTCCAGACCAAGAGAGTGGTGAGTTGATCTGCTCTGTTCTGTGAGGCTATAGGGTGATTCAATGTAAAATGACATATTCCCTGTTGTTCTTACCCTGTAGAGTTGAGTGTGGGCTGTTGTATTCGGTGTTGGATCAGAATAGATTTATCTCCCTTTTGTATTTTGCTGGGGCTTTAGGCAATGTATATTTTGTTTTTTGAAAAATATGTCTTTTCATATTTATGGAGTACATCTACATAGGTAAGACTTTCTCTCTTTCTCTCAAGCCGGCCATGTCAGTGAGAGGCTGAGTATTGACAAGACCCGCTTTTTCCGTGTGGAGCAGACATATGCTGTGAAAACGGGGAAGTGGTACTTTGAATTTGAGGCTGTCACCGGGGGAGACATGCGTGTAGGTTGGGCCCGACCAGGATGCAGGTCTGACCTAGATCTGGGCATGGATGACCAGGCATTTGTTTTCGATGGGTACAAGGTAAGTCCCACTTGGTCACATTTATCTGCTAAATGCATGGAATATTTGTATTTGAATGCAGTCCATGCAGCTCTTATTTTTGTTAGCTTATTACATTCTGTTGTTTGAGAAATATTTTTCTCAAGTGTTTTTTATATGTATTTTGAAGCTGAAGCCATGTGACATTTTCAGGGTCACCGATTGCACATGGGCAGCCGCTTCTTTGGCCGCACCTGGCACGCGGGCGACGTAGTCGGCTGCATGATTAATATGGAGGATAAATCCATGATCTTCACCCTGAATGGAGAAATCCTCATTACAAATAAGGGCTCCGAACTGTGCTTCGCAGATTTTGAGACTGAGGATGGTGAGTGCTGTTTTAGCTGAGGAAGCCATGTTTCATGAAGTGGTGTATGTCTTGCTAATCGTCTGAGAACCCCTTGCTGTTGGTAGACTATGCTGGATAAGACTGGGTTTATCTTGAAATGCTGTCTCTCATACAGGCCTAACATTTCTTGATGAAGACTATTCCAGAAAGAATGTTTGCTTTGCCCATATAGTCTCTTCAGCTTTCTCTCTTTAGGCTTCATCCCAGTATGTAGCCTGGGTCTCTCTGAGATTGGCCGCATGAACCTTGGGAAGGATGCCAGCACCTTCAAATACTACACCATGTGTGGTCTTCAGGAGGGCTTTGAACCTTTCGCCGTTAACATGAACCGGGAAGTTACTATGTGGTTCAGTAAACGTCTACCTACCTTCGTCAATGTGCCAAAAAACCACAACCATATAGAGGCAAGTCATTATAGGAACCACACTCAACAGACGTGCAAGCATACACATTGTAGACCATGATTATCATAGAGCCAGAAGGTAATAGAAGCAGTTATTTGCATTTATCTCATGTTCTGCAATCTTATAGTGAAGATGCAGCTAAGAATTTCGGTTTCTGCTCTCGACTGCTGTGTGTGGAACTGATGGGGACCCCCATGCTGTCTGCTGAATTCTGGATGTATGCAGGTTACCAGAATCGATGGCACCATCGACAGCCCGCCGTGTCTCAAAGTGACCCATAAGACCTTTGGGACCCAGAACAGCAATGCCAATATGGTGTTTTGCCGGCTGAGCATGCCAGTGGAGTTCCAGCCCACCTTTCGGAGCAGTCCCTCTATTGACATAAATGGGGTGCTTGAGGATGAGTCTCAGAAATCCAAACACAGGTGTGAATCTCCCACCCCAGAGCCACTCAGAGCCGCTGGAAGTTACTAAGATACTTGATCTTAGTAGTTGATACATTGCTTCTACCTTTTTTATATTATTATTTTGGCCATTCGTGCCAGAAAATTATGTTTCCTGATCATTTTGGTTTGCAGACATACTGGCAAAGCCCAGAAACATCAGGAAGATGGAAGGAGGACAGATTACAGTAGCATCACGATGGTATGTAAAAACGATGTTGTAATTTTGGTAGAAGCAGCATGAGATGCTGTAGGTAACCTCCCTGTGTTCTGTTTCGCAGTACTATCACTCTGTGCGGGTTTTCGCGGGTCAGGACCCCTCCTGTGTGTGGGTGGGCTGGGTCACTCCTGACTACCATTACTATAGCAACAACTTCAGCCTCAGCAAGAACCGAACAGTCACTGTTACTCTGGGAGATGAGAGAGGGCGGGTACATGAAAGGTATGTGCACTGAATCACTGCTGCTTAAAATTAGCATCAAGCTGCCTTTTCCTTTAGGTGTAATTAAGTTTGAATTAATTTGCCAATTTTGTGTCCTTTCTTGCGTAGCATTAAGAGGAGCAACTGCTACATGGTGTGGGGAGGGGACATCGCCAGCACCTCCCCCTCCTCTGGCCGCAGCAACGTGGACTTGGAGGTCGGGTGCCTCATCGACCTGGCCACTGGCCTTGTGTCTTTCTCTGCTAATGGCAAGGAGCTGCCCACCTCCTACCAGGTACCTATCATGGAATGGTTCAAGACTACAGGAACATGTAGGCAAGCAGTGGATGTGTAATGAAAAGAGTTTGAGCGAATGCATGCGCAAGACTCCTTAGCAGGAGAGACCCATGTGTTTACTGCACTTCTCTTGCGGACTGTTTATCATGATTGCTGACTTTGTTTAAAAAGCCAGGAGCAATCGCTATAGAGGACCACATGTCAGAGATGAACATGCTCCAAGTTGCTTCCTGGAAAACAGCCCAGTAATATATTACCATTGTCAAGAACAGTGTTTCCCAACCCGGTCCTTGGAGACCCCCAGACAGTCCACATTTTTACTCCCTCCCACCTCCCAGCAGGCAAAAATGTGGACTTTCTGCGGGTCTCCAAGGACCGGGTTAGGAAACACTGGTCTAGAAAGCTGTTTAGTTTTTTCACCTACATACTTCCGACGTGGGTACATTTCGCAGAGATACACAGATACTAGAGCACTGTTACGCCTAGTGACTCGGCTTCCCCTTCCGTCAGCTATCCCCTTGTCCTGGGCCTCTCATATAGGCTTCCATTTCTAACACCTTGTCAGAACGGAAAGCCGGGTGACATGGTTCAGCGGCTTCTTCCTATAAGATGAGGCCTGAGCAGGGTCTGTCAAAACTGCCACTAGTGCTGCTTCGTTCTTCTCGGCAATATACATGCCAGCTACTGAACTGTGGACAAGGTGACAAAATTGCAACTGGGGGACAGTGGCACTGCAGATGAATGCAACTTGGAGTATTCAGAGCACAGCTCCATGCGGCACCGTGCACAGCTACCCTCCGCATGTTTGTCATCCTGATGCTAAACTGCAGCATCTTGCTTTCTTTATGTGGAGGAGTTTACAGATAAATGTATAACGGAAGCTCACTGTGCCCTGTCTCATGTTCAGGTTGAGCCCAACACAAAGCTGTTCCCAGCAGTGTTTGTGCAGCCCACAAGTCCCAATCTGTTTCAGTTTGAGCTGACAAAGATAAAGGTTTGTTGGTCTTGGATCTTCAAGCATTGGCTCGAGGTGTTTTCTAGGCGCGTTTTTGCAGCATTTTGATCTGTGACCTTGCACTTCCTGCAGAATGCCATGCCCCTGTCATCCGCCATCTTTAAGAGCGAGCACAAAAACCCCGTGCCGCAGTGCCCGCCCCGTCTGGACGTACAGACCATCATCTCTGTGCTGTGGAGCCGGATGCCCAACACCTTCCTGAAGGTGGAGACTGCCAGGGTGAGCGAGAGGCATGGCTGGGTGGTGCAGTGCCTGGAGCCCCTGCAGATGCTGGCTGTGCACATCCCTGAGGAGAACAGGTCAGGACACATGCGCACCCACGTACTCAGTCTGTAACACGCACACACAGCTGTATGCTGCAAGTGAATCAGACAAACACTCACATGAGAACGTGTACAGCTGAAGGCATTCAGGTGCATCATCTTGCATATCCCCAATGACAAGTCTCCTTGTCCCCAGGTGTGTGGACATAATGGAACTCTCCGAACAGGAGGACCTGAGGAAGTTCCACTACCACACGCTTAATCTCTACTGCGCCCTGTGTGCCCTTGGGAACACTCGGGTGGCACACGCCCTGTGCAGCCACCTTGACCAGTCCCAGCTGCTATACACCATCGATAACCAGTATCTGTCCGGCATGTTGCGAGAGGGCTTTTACGACGTGCTCGTCAGCATTCACCTGGAGACGGCAAAGGAGGCCCGGCTCATGATGAATAACGAGTTCATCATCCCGGTGACCGACGAGACACGCAGCATCCGCCTCTTCCCCGACGAATCCAAGATCCACTCGCCTCCCGGCGTGGGCCTCAGTACCTCGCTCAAGCCCCGGCTGAACTTCGTGCCACTCTGCTTCATCACCACCAAGCGGGAGCAGCACCTCTACAGCCCACAGATCCCGCTGGACGCGCTCAAGGAGAAGGCCATCAGCATGCTTACGGAGGCCGTTCAGGGCGGCGGCCACCACATCCGTGACCCAGTGGGGGGCAGCGTGGAGTACCAGTTTGTGCCCATCCTCAAGCTGATCGGCACGCTGCTCACCATGGGTGTGCTGGCCAGTGAGGACGTGCACAAGATTCTGCTGCTCATTGACCCCAATGTCTTTGGTGACTCCAAGGAGGAAGAACCAGAAGAGGCCACCAAGAAGGAGGAGGTGACCAGCAATGAGGAAAAGGCCGTGGAGGCAGGAGAGGAGGAGGCCAAGGATGCCAGGCAGCCAATTAAGGGCCTGCTTGAAAAGAGACTGCCTGAGTCTGTCAAGCGACAGGTACAGAGCACCAGAATTTTATACAGTCAATGTACATTTAATATATACATTATATATACATATATACTTCTATGTGTGTGTATTTTATTGTTGAATTGAATAATTTCCAGCCAATTCCTCTTATCACACAAATAAAAATGTCATAATTCTGCATGGATTTCCTTCTCCCGTTTGTGGCTTTCTTCAGTTGGTTTAGCACAGATAATAATCCCATAAGTGTGTCTGTGCCCTAGATGTGCGAACTGCTCCACTACTTCTGTGACTGCGAGCTGAGGCACCGCATCGAAGCCATCGTGTCTTTTTCAGACAGCTTTGTCTCCAAGCTTCAGTACAACCAGAAGTTCCGATACAATGAGCTGATGCAGGCCCTCAACATGTCTGCTGCCGTCACCGCCAAGAAGACGAAAGAGTTTCGCTCGCCTCCCCAGGAGCAGGTGGGAACCTGCAGAAGTGCTGCAAAGGGAAATGCATACAGCTGCTGGCGTACTGCTCTCTGGTTCTGACAGTTTCGCAGTATTTAAGTTTTTTTGCTGTCTCATATTTGTAGCTGCTGTTTCATTTATGCTTCGATGTGTCGTTTATTATGGCCGCAACCGAGAACGGCTGTCACGATCTGTGGCACCTTAACATTGTTCCAGTGGTTTTGGAGTTCTAGGGTTTGCAGCAGGTACTGCACTCATAAGGAGGATTATTTGTATGTAAATGTGTGATGACATGGATGAGGGACACATCTATGACCCTGTGATCAATTGATGTTACTTTTTTGAGATTGCCTAGGTTTTTCATTGAGTTACTTGGTATGTTTATTGTTTGTGCAAACGGTAGTGCCTTAGGGACTGTGAGGTTCCAGCCCTACGGCTGGGGAAAGCTTGCGTACCCAAGGTTTAGTCTACGCCTGCCCCAACAATTACACCAGCCTTGTTTTTCCCATGTAATTTACACTGCGATGCTGTGCTTTGCCGATTTGTTTGGCTTTTCGGTCCCACAGAAGAAATTGTCTTGTGTGACACTTCCGGGTCCGGGGTTGTATACCACTGATGGGATGAGCATTTTGCTGCCATTGTTTTAGTAGCCACCATGCTAGCTCTGTAATTTTTCTTATTTCCAGATTAATATGTTGCTGAATTTCAGCATGGGTGAGGATTGCCCTTGTCCAGAGGATATCCAGGAGGAGCTGTATGACTTCCATAATGAGCTGCGCCTACACTGTGGTATGGGCAGAGTCTCATATTGTCACTCTGTATGTGGGATGGGTTTCATACTGTAGCTAGAAATTGGACACAGATAACCAGCTGTCCTACAGTAGTCATTCAGCTTTAAAATTTTCTAGAAGTACTTCTGTTTTCTGAATCATGGTCAACTCTGGCCAGTTACATGATGCGCTAAGGACCTGTTCTGTGCAAGACAAATCAAATGCCCTCCATAAGAAGAAAGAATGGCAATGATTAGCTCTGCTGTTAAAGCAACACTATTAAAGCAAAAAAATGGGGATGCCTTTGGTCATCAGTCTCATTGCTCTTTAACATGTTATTCTTTGCTTTCGGATAGTATCAATTTATCTTACAGGAACACTGTCCCAGACATTTGCATCTGCAAACAGTTTTTAAACATTTGTAGTCTTCAAAAACAGAGGTCTTTACAATCTGTTTTCTTTTACACAGTAATGGCAGTGTAAATAAGATCTTACCTGACCTCAAATTAAGATCTAAATCAAAGTCCTGAGGGACCCATTTTCATATGAAACTCTTTATCTTTTGTATCCATACTCAGTAATATTTTCTCATTTAATGCCAGGATGATGCCTGGGCAATTACATGAACTCTGCAAATATCTATGCCTGTTCATTTAGGAATCCCCATCGAGGAGGAGGAAGAGGAGCAGGACACTTCCATCAAGGGCCGCTTACTGGCTCTGATCTACAAGATCAAAGGCCCCCCACAGAAAACCAAGGAGGAGCCTACAGTGGAGGAGAAGTCAGCTCCCAGTAAGGGCGTACTCACACTCGACCCGCTTGTGATGTAGCACGCCCAAACACGTCCCCCTTCCTCACCTCCCTGCTGGTCCGCGCTCACATTGCACTTAATGTTACAGGCCCAAATGCTTTCATCATCACCATGCGACCTTTTGTGTCAGAGAGTGCCAGAAGAAAAGTGGTGTCACACAGCACAATGGAATTCATGATTAATGTCCTTATTTTGTAACTTATTTGGAGTCGTTTGGTCACATAGCCCATGGACCTCTTACAGATATATCAAGTATGCAACAAAGTGGTTTTCATTTAATTTTAATTTGTTGATCAGTGGTCATTGTTGACACACCACAGCACAAAGTGCACAACAATGAAATGGCTTCTCTGCATTTAACCCATATGTGACATCGTGACATAGCAGGGGGCAGCTAATTCAGCGCCCGGGGAGCAGTGCTTGGTGGCGGTACGGTACCTTGCTCAGGGTACCTCAGTGGTGCCTTGCTGGTTGAACCAGCAATCTTTTAATTACAAGTGCGCTTCCCTAACAATTAAGCCACCACTGCCCAAACTTCCAGTTGCACTGCATGTATAAGATAGTGGTGTATTTTACCAAATACTCTGAGTTTTTTTGAGTTGCATCCTGTTATTCCTGGATATTCTCATCAGCCAAAATTTCCAGCAAACACTGCACCTCTGCAGTAGGCCAAAGTGATCCCTTTGTCGCTATATTTGTTAAATGTTTGTTGCTACCCTTTCTGTACAGCCTACTCCATCTGTTCCTTCCAGGTCCATTTCATGTATAGTCTAAATGTGCTTATGCATGTGCCAGCCGCTTCCTTGACATCACATCTGCGTTCCGTGCTCAAGCACAATTAGCGATCACGCTTGACGGGTACAGTCGATGGCTGCTTGATGGCAGGAGAGCTTGTGATTTTAGCAGCCAGTTGATGTCTGAAAACATCAGCTAATCTGACCAAGTCATCATTTTATTCAAGCCAGTAATACTAGTGCCCTGCACAGGCCTCATGGAGTAGGACTCTGAGATTATGGTAAATAGCGATTGCTATTTGATATTTGTTTAGATTATAAGTAACTGACTGTTGCCACAACCCTTCTATTCAATCTATTTTACAGGTGTTCTGATTTATATTTCAGCTACCAGTGATATGAACATTGTTACCTACATTTCAGTTTGGTTTAAAATGTGTTTTTAATGGAAATGTGACACCTGCATTAAACCTTGGCCAGTGGGCTGCCTTCTAGCTGTAAAGGGAGGCTAAACAATTCACAGTGGGACTCTGGATTCCGGTGCTGGCACCTGTATTGTGCTGGTGTATGAAGATGCATATGCTCTTTAGAAGCAAGAAACTGCTGTTGTCTGCTTGAAACTACCATTCGTTGGGGGTTTGGAAATCACCATTTAAATGAAAAATTTGATTGCAGTAAGTACACTCTGGGGTGTTAAACTTGCACTAAGGTCAGTACACTGTGTGGTGCAGCAGATTTTTATTGGGCTTGAGACTCTATACTGCATGTCTCAGCTTGATACCATCCAGCTACTGGTTCCACCGATCATGTGGTACCCAGCCTATGATCTGCAGCCTGAGCATCTTTCACAGACTCAAATGAAACCTACACCTGTTATTTTAATTTGTTCACTTAGCTAAGTGGCACATACATATAACCAAAATAGTATATCAAGTCAGTGTGTGAATATCTGCATCTTCTAACAAAACTATGTCACACTGAGGCCCCCAGAAGTCAGACTGGATAATATATACGTTTATAAAAGGACATTTTCCTAAAAAATAAACATGCACTGTTTTAAAACTAAAGTTAATCATCAGTGTGTTTACTTCTGAATTTATCATTAGCGGTTTGTTTGTTTTATGCCACCTCCCAAAAAGCAGTTTTGTCCTAATTGTTAAACAACCAAATGAAAAGCTTTGAGTGAAATGCCAACTGACTAAGGGCATTCTGAATAAATGCAAATAATACAGACTATATTAGCAGAAGCAAGTGTACCAAATGTGATTAGTATTCTCTTGTCTAATTACAAGCAGTACAGTTGAAATGACTGGTGCTGGATTTCTTGGCACCTAGAACGTCATCTCATGGCATTAAAAGCACTGTGGCAGCAGGGATGTGAGCTGTTTATGAGCCCTTTAAAAGGAGCATGGGGTTTGCATGCATTCCAGTGATCACAGTAATTGAAATCAGCTTTTAAAGAGTTGTGAGGAGCTTGGGCCATTACATTAGTTTCTGTGGTAGCACATTTGTTGTGTTGTGTTGTGTTTGGCCTGTGCCAAGGAGAGGAATTTTCTGTATCGATTTTTTTTCCAGGACGAGGAAGTGAAGATGTCAACTTAGCATTTTTACTCTGGCTTTGTGGTTTATTCCTCAGCCATGACCAGGAAAATCTAACATGGATGGGAAAGTTTAGAGAGCAGTTGGAGGTTTGAGGAGGTAGGGGGGCAGGGCTTCTTCGGCCTAAAGGATGCACCTGACCAAAGAAGGTTTGGGGCACATGGGAGAGAGGTCGGACTCTGATTACAGTCAGCTCCACATTGCGTTAGCAGGGCTCCCCCTGAGCCAGGGAGCCACCTGTTAATCTCCCCCGGTTATGCCAAGTTTGCAGTTACCCCCCCCCCCCCAATAATTGGCCCAGTCTATGGGGGAAGGCGGGGCCTATAAATGGTGTTATTTATGACCACTGCAAGGCATGCTAGCTAGAATGGGACCAGCAGCTGTGATAGATGTGCCTCGGTACCGTAAATGTTAACTTTCTTGACAGCGTCTCCTCTTGAACAATGGAGGTTGGTAGACACTGTGTGATTCCACTTGGGGAAGATGGTGTAGTGGTGGCATGGATGATGGAATGAAGGACCTGATAGGTGCGAAATGTGGCGGACTTCTCCTGTCATGACTGGCGAATAGAATTTACCCTTTAGGGTTCCCGACACACTGGAGCTTTGTGCAAGAGAGCAGTGCGCTTTTATTTGGAAGAATCTATCGTTTGCACCTCAAGTGCCTTGTCCAGGCAAAACTTGGGAATGTGGTAGATCTCTGTCCAGAGATGCCTTTGCATAACCCCCCACTTTATGAGTGTTAACCATCGTATTGGTTGTCGCTGAGCAGAACATTCCACAGGCCATCCAATGCTCATCTGACGAGTGACATGCATGGCATTAGGAGGTGTAGAATCAGAATATAAACCACACCAATTAGTCACGTCAGAAGGACCCAATGACATGCAAATGTTATGCTCAGCTTTCGCATAGGTTTAATCAGTTGTTTTGAAATGATCTCTGTTCTAAATTGGATCTTTATCCTGTGTTGCTAAGCAGCCTTGATATTGATTTAGTTTTAATGAAGCTTTAAGGTATACCCATACAATAGCTGTCCAGACAAACTGTTGACCACAAGCAACATAACATTATTAGTACTTCTAATTAGTGCACCATTATTATAAATGATAATGTCTCAAAATATATTATGCCTATAAAAAATGACATATAAAATGGTATTAAGGTATACTTTCTTTATCCCAGTGCAAATTTTGTTAGTAGACAGCCCAAAAAAATTGTGCACTTTAGCTTCATCGATGCTGTTTATATCCTATGAATATAAATGAAATTTTATTCTCCTGAAAAAAGGCGAAGGAGCATACAGGCTGTAAATACACCATAATGGCTGAATTCATCACTGACAGGTGCTCCTTTATGGCCTGCACTTGTTGCAGCAGTTACAAGCGGGATCACCGGCACAAACTGCGCCTTTTCTCCGCAGCCCTGTGGCCCTGCTGCGTTCCAGCAGGCGTGTCAGAGCTGCACGCCATAGCTGCACGCCATAGCTGCTAGCTAGACACAACAGGCCACTTACTCTACCACGCACATCATTTTCGGGGATTGCCGACAAAATGCCAACCCTGATCACTGTGGCCAAGAGACTGTGACTGTGTTGGGTTAGAATTTGGCTGCTTTTTGTTTTCTATGCATGAAAAAGTACTTGATTTAACTATCACTTACCTTTTTCGTTAGTTAATCAAATGAGGAGGAGATGATGCAGTTTCCCATTAGTGTCACCAATTCACATAGGATTCTCAGCAGACTCTAAGGGTCATATCATTGTAAGTGTTTATAATGACATAGTTAATATGCAGTTAATCAAGCTGAACACTAATTGCCTTTCCCCGCCGTAACCTCCCCAGCCAATCTGAAGGAGCTGATCTCCCAGACCATGGTGAGCTGGGCCCAGGAGTGCCACATCCAAGACCCGGAGCTGGTGCGGGTGATGTTCAGCCTGCTGCGACGGCAGTACGACAGCATCGGTGAGCTCCTGCGGGCCATGCGCAAGAGCTACAGCATCAGCGCCGCCTCCGTGCAGGATACCATCAACCTACTAGCCTCGCTGGGTCAGATCCGCTCGCTGCTCAGCGTACGCATGGGCCAGGAGGAGGAGCGGCTCATGATCGACGGCCTGAGGTGTGCATCTCTCTGCACCTGTGCTCAGCCTAGCCCTGCGGCTCTCATTAACCGTGCGTTTTGAATAGGATTATTACCATAAGTGTCCCACGTAGCTGGAAAGTGTCATGGATTGTCATTCTTACTGGTGGATATGTGGGAGATGAGCCAGGAATGGAACACTCAGACAAACCATGCAGTGGTTCTCTCCCCTCTCTAGTGACATCATGAACAATAAAGTGTTTTACCAACACCCCAACCTGATGCGGGTCCTGGGCATGCATGAAACTGTGATGGAGGTGATGGTGAACGTACTTGGGGGCGGCAAGTCTCAGGTACGGGGGGGGGACTTGCACTGGGGGTGGGGGGTAAAGTGAGTTTTATTTTAGTGATGATTTAACTGCCATGCTGTTAGCCTGCCCTCCTTTCCTTTTGTTTAGTTAATGTCTTGTCTACGATCTGTGTTCCTATTTAGAAACCAGCCATTTAAAATAGATACATGTAAATAAGGGTTAGTACTAGTGGATGTACAAGTCTCATAAATATGTTAATGTAAATGTCATGCATCTACACTATTTCAGTCGGAGGATGATGTAGCATATTGAAAATGCACCCCGGTGGGAGTATTAGTTAGCATTAGCATTTTAGTGTCTGTAGTCATGTATTTATTATTTGAGATGTGAACATATCATGTGAGCTGATGTGAAGTTCATGCCACTCTGCAGGAGATCGCCTTCCCGAAGATGGTGGCCAGCTGCTGCCGCTTTCTGTGCTACTTCTGTCGGATCAGCCGTCAGAACCAGAAGGCCATGTTCGACCACCTGAGCTACCTGCTGGAGAACAGCAGTGTGGGACTGGGTGTGTAGAACTATACCTGGGCTGGCAACAGTCGGTTCTTAATAAATTAAATCCCATCCACCTTAGGCGGATATAATAATATCAACCTTAACTTTATGGCAGCTCTGTAGTTGTATTGCTGCAGTATTCTGGGGGACTTGCACATGCATTCACTTCAGGAAGGATTTTTAGGTAATCACTCTAAGGAGCTCCTTGAAAGTTTAAATCTGAATGTGTAACTTAAAGCTGTTAACGGACTATCAGTTTGGTTACAGGAATAGAATTGCATTCTATACTGAGAGTCAAAATGCTGCCACCTGCTGTTTTGTGACAGCATATGCTTTTATTTAGCCTTGTGGTTGTTTTTGGGGCAGTGGGGAGAATTAAATAATTTAAATAAGGTGGGTATATTACAGTTTTATTATTAATGTAGTAGTGTGGCAATATAGATTTGCTGAATTACTGAATGAAACACGAGGTCAGTAGTTTCCAGGGGCCAAATTCTTAAAGTAAGATAGATAGAGTATAAGACAGGATTTACTCCAGTTTGGTATTAAAGAAGCAAATCCTAACTAACTTTAGGAATCCTATCTTATCTAAGGTTAGGAAATCCTAAATACTCATTCTGACAACGTTTATCAATTTTTATGTCTGTTACCAAGGAACCAACGTTACTTTTCACAACTCACAGAGCTATTTTGTGACCCATTAGCATTATATTTTGTCAAAAAAGAGCATCACATACTTAAAACTAATAATAATAATACACCACTTTGTCGTAAAGAAGAAAGCATCATGAGTTGAACAAGGTGAATTTGCTATTAAATGCCTAATCATCATGTTACGATCTCCTATGGCTTGGATGTTCATGGCATAGTATCCTTTGCAGTACACATATGTTGCCTCATCCTCCCCACTGTGAACTTTCAAATTCATTCCCTTATTTTAATTAAATTGTGGCCACGTTTTCTTAATTCATTCCCGGAGCAAAATGTGATGTATATAAAGTGAGGGAACAAATGAGTAAATAGGGGCACAATATATGTAATTTTTATGACAATGTCATGAACGGGAGTCTGCAGGAAACTGCATGTAATGAGCAGCCAAATCGCTAATTGCTGTTGCCACCTCGGTTAAATTGCAGCGGACTGAGAAATTTTTGCTGTGCTGGTCACTTCGCTTCACATGCCAAGTTTGCTGTTCCCCTCCTGTTTAGCAAAAAAAAAAAAAAAAAACAAGAAAAAAAGAATTACATTTCGCAGTTGCACCACAACTGGGAGAGCCCCATGTCACCTGGTCAGCCTCTCCAAAGCTGGTCATAGTTGCTTGGCTATCTGCAGGATCATAGCTTGGGGTAGCTTAAATCTACTAATGAGCATTTGGTCATCAAACCATAACACATCGTTACAGTCTGCTGTAAGCTTCTCAATGAAGAAATTACAGTATGCCTGGTGACATTTTCTTGGTTGTCAAAAAAATATAAAAGAGCAGAAATACGGATTAAATAAGTTTAGCTATAACTAACAGTGTGGTGGCCAGTGAAAGTCAGGACAGCTTAACGATCATCCTGATGTTAGGAGTTTTTTTTTATTTTTTCGCCAGTTAGAGAGCTTGTGTAATACACTTTTCCTCTCTTATGCTCATAATAATGACTAAGGAACTGTTCATCTTTAATGTTTTTTTTCCTAAATGAGGTAGTAACCCTAGTTACCATGGTTACCAAACAGTTACGATACGATCTGCAAGTTAGGAAGTTTCTATAATTCAGCCCCAGAACTGTTAGAAACTGGAGGCACTATCAGACTCGCTGTGTAATGTCCCCTGTAATTCTCATGTTTGTCTGTCTGTAGCATCTCCTTCTATGCGGGGCTCAACCCCTCTGGATGTAGCCGCCTCATCAGTGATGGACAACAATGGTCTGGCGTTGGCACTAGAGGAGCCAGACCTAGACAAGGTGTGTATGCTGTCTATGCATGCGAGGGGGAGTGGCAGGGAGCAGTGGTCGGCTGAGGATGTCTTCGGAAAAGAGGCTGAGGCAATCCTTAGCTGAGGTCTGGTTATATGATATAGGTGGTGACATACCTGGCTGGCTGTGGGCTCCAGAGCTGCCCAATGCTCTTGGTGAAAGGATATCCTGACATTGGCTGGAACCCTATCGAAGGCGAACGCTACCTGTCTTTCCTTCGTTTTGCTGTTTTTGTCAATGGTATGTCATACCCACCGATCACATGACCTCACTGACCATAAAACCCAGATAGACACACATAATTGAAATAATGGGACCCTGTGTGTGTGTGTGTGTGTGTGTGTGTGTATGTATTATATTTACAAAAGCATATGTGTTCACTGTCCCAGGTGAAAGCGTGGAGGAGAACTCCACTGTTGTGGTGAAGTTGCTGATCCGGCGGCCAGAATGTTTTGGTCCAGCCCTTCGGGGTGAGGGGGGCAATGGCCTCCTGGCTGCCATGAAGGAAGCCATCAAGATCTCCGAGACCCCGGCCCTGGACCTGCCCAGTGCCGCCCAGGGGGTCAGCTCAGACGTGTAAGTAGCCATTCCCAGTGACCGCACTGACCACCACACTGCATTACAGCCTGCCACAAATTCTCCATTCCTTTTCTGATCCATCCAGCTCTGCTGAAGATGAAGAGGAGGAAGAAGTGGTGCACATGGGCAATGCCATCATGTCCTTCTACTCCGCTCTTATTGACCTGCTGGGGCGCTGTGCCCCGGAGATGCATGTGAGTCATATGGAGGACATCTGGAGATGAAGCAGGGGACTGACGGCTGATCTCAGCTTCTGTGACAGTGACAAAGCCGAAGCATTATTCGGATGTGATTATAGTTGATTTCCAGCATTGCCGTTAGTCCTGTATTCGGGGTCGGGGAGTGATTCTTCTCAGTTAATGATGCCTCAGAGGGAACCATGACTCGCCGCCCCTGACTGTGCTCTCTTTCCGAGCAGCTGATCAACAAGGGTAAAGGGGAGGCCCTGCGGATCCGTGCCATCCTGCGATCTCTGGTTCCCACAGAGGACTTGGTGGGGATCATCAGTATACCCCTTAAAATGCCTGTAGTGAACAAAGGTACAAGACTAATCTTCTTTAGCCACTCTCCCCAGTCACCCAGGCTGCTTCAGTCACAGCAGGCTACCTGCGATACCAAGTGTCACACTCGAACCAGAGTAATTCCTCTCTGTGACCGTAGTAATTGTGTCATAGTGCTGTTAATACCAAGTCTTTGGTATTCATCTGATGAAAGCTTTGAAGAAAGTTGGCAAAAAAAAAATCGTTGCAGTTGTCACCCACTGTTATGACTAAATGGGATCCTTGTCTCCATCACTCTAATCCCACTGAAGGTGTTCCTCTTCTATTTTTTCAATGCAGCTGCAGCCATGCCCAGTGCCGCAAGGCTCAGCACTATTACTAAAAGCCCTCTGACAAAGCCAGCGAAAATAATCACAATAAAATTTCCCTTCCTTTATTATGCTGCAGCCTTAATATTATTTTCCATAAATCATTGCCTGGAATTAACATCCAATATCATAATGTTCTAGACTAGTGGAACCTTGCCACCTCTCCTTTACTTTGAATCTGTTCCCTGTGATACTCATTCATTCTATGGTTTCAAGTAGGGCAACTAAATTTCGCTTAATGATAATTGTTGTGTGAGGGCAATTTGTTGCATTAGGATCAGGCTCAGAGTTTATGTTAGTAGTCATAGATAATAAATATTGTTTGTTCCGGTTCTTCTGAGGTACTTCACCTACATTGCTTCGGTAACTGTCCAGATGCCAAAGTGTGACAGCACCAGGAGCTCCATGCATTGTCTTGCATCTTCTTTCAGATGGAACTGTAACGGAGCCTGACATGTCAGCCAGCTTTTGTCCGGACCACAAGGCACCCATGGTGCTGTTTTTGGACCGTGTGTATGGTATAGAGGACCAAAGCTTCCTGCTACAGCTGCTGGAGGTGGGCTTCCTGCCTGACCTGCGTGCCTCTGCGTCCTTGGACACGGTAAGCGAGGAGCATAAACACTGGCTTGCATGTTTGACACATTTTGAGGGTGCTTGCAATCTTCCTCTCAGTGCACCAGGGAAAGCTTGCTTTGGATTTCATGCAGAAATTAAATAAAATCATAAATGGTAATCATAACTGCTAAGCTGAAGACTTACAATAAAGTTCACATAAAGTTTGATTAAAAGATTTAACAAATCTTACATGGGATGTAATAGTATATAGTATATAGTATACTATACTCCTTATAATACTCTATTATTACTCATGATGTCATGGACATCAGTAGTTTGTTTTCCACAAAGTTGGATGCTGATAGATTGGTGTCATGAATGAAATGTCAACAAAAGCCCCAACAACTGGTGCAGAGATTCACAGGCATGTGGCCTGGCCTGGCCTGGCTCCATTATTTTTGTTCTGGGCTTCTACCTGCAGGAGACACTGAGCACCACAGAGACGGCGCTGGCCATGAACAGATACATATGCTCTGCGATGCTGCCTCTGCTGACCCGCTGCGCCTCGCACTTTGCGGGCACGGAGCACTACGCGACACTTATCGACTCTACCCTGCACACCATCTACCGGCTCTCCAAGGGCCGCTCTCTCACCAAGGCCCAGCGCGACGCAATTGAGGAGTGCCTGCTCGCCATCTGCAAGTATGACCACATGAGGTTTCAAAATCATGAAGATCTTTGCTTGCGTGGTGTTTCGCCCCCTGATGGTCACATGACTGCCTTTCCATAGGCATCTCCGGCCCTCGATGCTACAACAGCTTCTGCGCCGCCTCGTCTTTGACGTGCCCTTGCTGTCGGAGTACTGCAAAATGCCCCTAAAAGTGAGTTTCCCCCATCTTTGCTGCCTCCTGCGTCTCTTGTATCAGTTGCCTAACCTTGACAGTACACACGATTCCTGTTTGTCATGCCGGGCCAGTTTGTTTCCTATGAAGGCTCCCCGTTAAGGGTAGGAGTACCAGAGATGGTGTTGCCAAGTTAAACAGATGTCAGCAACCCTGACTTTAAAACAGGCAGCCCCAGGGAGCTGCGGGCAAGAATGAAATCATTAATGCTGAATGTTGAACATAATGCTGTGCTTAGTATTTTTGTGAGGGGAAACATGTCAATGTATTCATCCTGCCGCCAGAATGCAAGCTCAGGTTGTGGGGTCATATTGTCACCCCAACGGGTGTGATTTTGTAGGATTTAATTTTTAAAATGGTGTTGCTAGTATTTTGCTGGTAAGTTAGATTTATTTGCGGAAGTATTTTAGTACTGAACACCTCAAGTTGAGTACTGTACTCAAGAACTGCTTCTTTAACAGCCAGATCACCTTCTGCCTGGGAACCGAACTGGGAATCAGTAGATGATAGGAGACCTACTTGCTGTGAGGTTCTGCTTTTGGCTCTCATTCCTGATGTTAGTTGTTTAGTGTTCATGGCTGTTTGGTGACTTAGTGGTAGATAAAGTGCCTGGACCTGCAGTGTCTATGACGGCTCCCCTTTCCCAATTGTCTCAACCAAGATGGCTATAACAGGCTATAACAGGCGCTCTTATACTCCCTAAGTACCGCCAAGTGTCATTGTCAGTAGAAGTGTATGGGTGTCTCTGTGCTGGCCCGGAATGAAATACACAAACACACACATCCAGAACCCTGTCACCATCTAATGAGGAAAACAGAGTACGTCTCACTTAAGGCACACAGCATGCACTCTGCTGGCTGTATGACAGCTGTCAGGCCTGGTTCAGGCCTATCTGCAATCACTAAAAATGATAGGTGTTGGGCTCTGATCCAGTCTCACTGTGTTGACTACTGTGACGGGGCAACTAACTGTCCAATCCTGTCTTGTGTCCTTTAGCTCCTGACCAATCACTACGAGCAGAGCTGGAAGTACTACTGCTTGCCTGCAGGAGGCGGTGGGTATGGTATGGCATCTGAGGAGGAGCTTCTTCTTACCAAGAAGCTGTTCTGGGGAATCTTCGACTCACTCTCGCAGAAGGTATAGCGTTGCTTTACCATCTGGGAAATGTGTGGCAGTCAGAGTGTGGCAGTCTGTCATGGCCTGTTCTTGATTTTTTAAATATAATCAACAATTTGGCTCTAAGTAACCAAAAATATTGGTTACTTATTCCCATGAATGCTATTAACCATGGTACAAATTTCCTTTAATAATTCAAAGCTTGTTTTCTTTACTCTTCTCTTTCTCCTTTAATACATATTAAGAATCCAGGCATTGTGCAAACAATGCAGTGGTCAGATAGACATATTTGTAGTTCATAACGTCTAACACCATAAAGGTTTCAGTTTAAATATCATGGTTCCAGCTTAACACTTACTATGGTACACTGAATCTTTTAAGGACATTACAAGCACACATAAAAGTAAAGCTGCTGAAAATCTAGGCTGAAAACGTAAATATTTCAGCTGGCGTATGGGATTTCAGCCTTTTTCCCTCATTGCTTTTTGCTTTTTAAAACGGCAGTCCATTAAGCAGCTGGCCTCCGCTCAATCTGCTTCACAGCAGGCTGCATGGATCAAGCAATTCTCCTTTAGACTCAGCTGATTGGTCTTTTCTGCTAATTTAACTCTCCCATAAACTGCTGTGACAGAAATACGACCCGGAGCTCTTCAAAATGGCTATGCCCTGCCTGAGCGCCATCTCCGGAGCACTGCCGCCTGACTATGTGGACTCATCTATGAGCACCACCTTGGAGAAGCAGGCTTCAGTGGATGCCCAGGGCAACTTCGACCCCAAACCTATCAACACTGCTAAGTAAGTCCCGTGGAACTGCGGTGGGTAGGTTCGGTCTCAGCATTGGTATGGACCAAATCGGCTCAAACGCCACCCCTCCCTTAAACACACACGCTACTCCCACAATACCGTCTCTCCCATCCGTACCCAAGTCTATGCCTTTGACAGCACCCTGAAAGCACAGAGCACAGAGCTTCCGGTCATCTCAGCCACCATTGTGCCCTCCCATCTGTCATATTCAGTACTACTCAGAAGTCTTAGCCAGTCAAAATGTTTAAAGCTATTTATCTGGATAGTAAGTGTATATTTACTCAAAAAAAACACAATTTAACATTAGAACATATAATTGACATAACACAATAAAAAGTAATAAGAAGTTACTGATATCTTGTTGGATGGCTATTAGAACACCACTTCAGTCCTCAAACCTCTCCTCAGGAGCACCTCAGCCATTCCATGTATTTGTTAACTTTCACCACCAGCTCAATTCACAAACTTTAATAGTCAAGTTGGTCAGTGGGGTATTGATTAGCCAAACATGCTATGCGAGTGGTAGAGTCAAAAAATACTTCGGTGTATTGGATGTTTGCTGCAAGTTCTGGGGTGATTTTAGGAGAGGATGTGAAATGGTTAAGCTAACACACGACAGACATAATATCATAGTTTCACACCGACATCATTTAAACATCATTTTCTTTGACTGCCTGAGACTTTTTAATAATAAATTAAACACAGTAACTGATACCAATATTAAGCCGCCAAGTCTTTACCAGTAGCTCTTTAGAGTACCAGTATGAGTTTGTAAAGGTTTATATGTCTATATTACAAATTAGTATTTGGCTGGAAAAAAGTGTATTTATTTTTAAATGTATTTTCAGCATTTCGCTTCCAGAGAAGCTGGAATATGTTGCCAACAAATATGCAGAGCATTGTCATGACAAATGGGCTGCAGAAAAGGTAGGTGGGCAGCAGAGGTCAGTCCCACTTCAATTGTGCCTGCATCAGTTTGATCATATATAATCTGACTTTATATTGAATATATAACACCCTTCCATTTGGTATTTGAAGGAAAACGTTTAATGGACTAGTTGAAATTTCATAACTGTTGTCACTTGGATGTTTGTGCTACACCTTTGAATGAAAACAGAATTGAGAGCAAGGCTTAAAATATAAATGGTGTCCATTAAGAGTTGTGGGTGGCTTTAATTTGTTATCTGTAAATATTCAGTTGACCTTAGGTTGGAAGTTTGGGGAGATGGTAGACGAGAAGGCCAAGACCCACCCTCTGCTGAAGACTTACAAGTCCCTGGCAGAGAAGGTATGACCAAGAGTTTCAACGGTGTGGAGATCCGCTACGTAACATGCCGACTGTGTTCAGCCAGGACAGGTGTGTCAAGGGAAAGAATCTGAGTGTGTGCATCTCTATGCCAGGACAGGGAGGTTTATCGCTGGCCTGTGAAGGAGTCTCTGAAGAGCATGCTAGCTATGGGCTGGAACATGGAGAGGACCAAGGAGGGTGAAGCCATGGTCCAGCAGCGGGAGAGTGAGAAGCTTCGTAGGATTTCCCAGTCCTCTCAGGTAAACGCTGTTTTCTGTTTTACATTGTATGTTGTACATGTATTTCTCTTTGCTGAATATCTCTTTTGCATTTATCCATCAGGCCGCATGACCATCTCAATTAATTACATAGACACCACTGAAATAGGGCATCTCTAAAAGCTTGAGAAGACTGTGTCGGTGTGTGCATGCTCACCCATGCTTGCGTACTTCCGGCCTTTGAAGTGCTATCTTTGGATTCATTATCTCTCTTTCATCACTCCTGCCATTTACTGCAATAATGCTGTTGAGCTCGAACAGTCTGCTTTCTTTTACCTATAAAATGTGTTCTTGGTTTATAGTGTCTGTTGATGGTGCATCACTAGTAACCAGTGTCTGAATTTTAGCAGGGAAATGGCTACAGCCCGTGTCCAGTGGATATGAGTAATGTACTTCTGTCAAGAGAGTTACAGGTTAGCATGAAAGTTTGTCTTTATTTCTTAGCACTTAAATGTATTACTCTGTGTCAAATCACATTGCCAAGTTTTAATTAAGAGTAATAATGGTAAAAGCATAATGATTGATCAATTCATCCATCTAACCATCTTCCAAACGCTTATGCTGGACAGGGCTATGGGGGACCTGGAGCATATCCCAGGCACCACAGGGTATAAGGCAGTTACTGGATCACATATCTGCAAAGTCAATGAAAGAACTTGCTGTATTTTGAAAACCTTTGTATAATATAAAGACATAGTCGTTCTGGATATGTTCCCAAGTCACTTAAAACTGCTGTAATCAAACTCCTACTGAAGAAATCTAGTTTAGGTCTGCATGACGTAACTAATTACAAGCCTATCTACATTTTTCCTTTTAGTGTTACCCACATCTATATGTCATCTCCAACATGATTTGATCTCGGTATAGAAGAAACTATCAGACCAGAATTTCTCTAAAGTAAAGATAGACTTGCTTTTCCTTTGTGGTATTATCTCTGCTCTTGTGCTTCTGGAGTAGGTGATGCTTTTAACATTAATATCACCATAATCCATCCATTCATCTTCTAACCACTTATACTGATCGGGATGGGGGGGTGGGGGGGGGGGGGGTGGCTGGGTGTCCCCATAATGATTGATGGAATTTTAAATTCGGATGATTTTGTGCCTTTCATAGTACATTGTTTTACAAATGTTTTCTTTTTAATAGCAAAAACAACATTGTACAGGTCTGTGCACTTACATCTAAACTACATGGTGTTTTCATTGCAGGGCATGGTTGAGGTGGTAGCAGAAAACTACCACAATATTTGGGCAAAGAAAAAGAAAACTGAACTTGGAAGCAGAGGTACCTTATTCCTTTGCATATACAACTAACTGCTGGAACTTTAGTGTTGTGCGGTTGTCTGGTCCTGTGCCTGCAGTCCTGTGAAGGTCTAGAATGGAGCAAAAGCGACAGAGAGAGTGTTTCCGTCTCCTCTAGTCTGTGAGCCATGGATCTGTTCCAGCACACCATCTGCTCTGATGCGGCTGACAAGGCCTAGTCCAAAGCCTTTTGACACAAATCGCAGACCCCTGGGAAACAGTGGCTCCTCACACTGTTTATTATCAGCACCAGGATGAAAATGCCATTTACTGAAATTGCCTATATAGGAAACTGACAGTTCCAAAACGGAAATGATCGTATGGTATTTTGTGACATTTCATCGTGAAAATCAGTCTCTGTAGGACATTCGCTTTCCTGTCACAATCTCCTTTTGTTCCTTTGTCCTTTTGTCACTTTGACTGGGATTGACTGTATCTGCTCTGCCCAGGAGGTGGGACACACCCCTTGTTGGTGCCCTATGACACCCTGACGGCCAAAGAGAAGGCCCGGGATCGGGAGAAGTCCCAGGAGCTGTTCCGCTTCCTGCAAATTAACGGATACGCTATCACAAGGTCAGGTGATTCCTGTAGCACCACCTTGAACAGTCTGCAACTTTCACCATCTTATCAGATGTACATTCAGAGCTTTTCAGTGACTATAGTCTTCAGCCATTTGAATAACTGTCTGCTTGGTAAATGGGTGAATGCCCAGTGAACAGCCGACGAGCGTGTAAAGCTGAAACGCATCTCAGTACCTGAATGATCATTTCAGCACGTCTTTAATCATCTTGTTTCCCTCTGTGCCATAGAGGCCTGAAGGACATGGAGCAGGACTCTTCTTCCATGGAGAGGCGCTTCGCCTACAAATTTCTGAAAAAACTGCTGAAATACGTGGACTCTGCACAGGAGTTCATCGCTCACTTAGGTGTGTGACTGAGTGCAGTTACAGTGGCCATTTACAAGAAAGACAAAGAACTTATTATTATGATTTAGAGCACATTAGGACTTATTATTACAACCAGTGTTGGGAAGGATACTTTTGAAATGTTTCAGGTTACAGATACAGACACTAGTTATGCTATCAAAAATGTAATAAGTAATGTAACTATTTTGATGACTTCATCAAAGTAATGAAACTTATTACATTTGATTACTTTTTGATTCGATTTCTAACAAATGTGTAACAGATATTTTAAATTGGGCAGTAAAGCTGAAATATCCTAACGGCTTTGCTGACCTGCGTTGTTTGGAAATATCCCAAAATAAGGCATTTCTGCATGCTGCAAAGCAACAAAATGAATGTTATACAATGCATAAGCTTTTTACCAATAAGAAAATATTAAGATGTAACCCATTTGTAATTACCAGCATTTTGATTGGTAACTGTAATTTAATTGCATATTTTTTCTCAGTAAATGTAACGGATTACAATTACATTTACTTTATAATTTCATTACATTATGCCGTTACATGTAACTAGTTACTCCCCAACACTGCTGACAACCTGGATTCAGATCTCCAGATAATGCTTGTGAACCTTTTGGAATTTTCTCACATGTGTAGATGGGAAGTTCTGGTACCAGACACCCCCCCCCCCATTGTATAGAGGGTGTTATTACCTCTATACAGTCTGGTCGCTTACCAAGGTGGTGTCTGTTACCTTGTGGAATTCATCTCCTCACTGCATGTGATTATTGACTTTTGATCTTCTCGTTTCAGAGGCCATGGCCTCCAGCGGCAAGACTGATAAGTCTCCACATGAGCAGGAAATCAAATTCTTTGCAAAAGTAAGAAAGGCCCACTAGTTCTGCTAATTCAAAAACAATTATCACATACTCATTATTTAAATGTAAAAGTTGTGTTCAGAGTTATTTGCTAGAATGTTATGTTCTCAGCTCCCTGTTTCTCTGCAGTGTTCAGGGTTATTTGCTAGAATGTTATGTTCTCAGCTCCCTGTTTCTCTGCAGTGTTCAGGGTTATCTTCATACTTTACCATTCATGTGTTCTTGTCTCCTCTTGTCTGCCCATTCTTGGATAACAGGTCTTGCTCCCGCTAATAGACCAGTACTTCAAGAACCACAGTCTCTATTTTCTTTCATCTCCTAGCAAGAACCTGAGTAGCAGTGGCTATGCCTCCAACAAAGAGAAGGAGATGGTCACTAGGTAACATCTCACTGCACCAGTGACTGATACAGTGTGTTTATAATCCCACAGGCTTGCCATACTGTATATAATACAATAACTAGGTATTGCTGCAGAGCTGTGGACTAGTGGTGCTATAGGTTGAGGATGCGCATTTTCAACGTTGGACTTTCACTCTGGCCTCAGCACTATGCATGTGTCCCTTTATTTTTCTTTTGCTCTCTTCACAGTCCAAAGAAATTCTGCTGGGTCTTCTAAATTGGCAACTCCAAATGACTGTGAGAGTGTGTGTGTGTGTGTGTGTGTGTGTGTGTTCATATGTGAGAGTGCTCTGTGACCCATCAAACGGTCACTCTTTGTCACTGTGACCTGAACAAATCTCATTCCCTGTATATCTGTGTATCTGCTCACAGCTCTCTTCTTGGTCTCCACTGTTTTTTAGCCTTTTCTGTAAACTGGCAGCTCTTGTCAGACACAGGATTTCTCTTTTTGGTAAGGGAATTGATGGATGCCTCGGCCTCTCTTTTACACGCACAGTTTTCATCATTGTCCGCTTTAGAGAACTGACATGACTCCCCTCTCGGGTTTGTTTTCCCTAAGGAAGCGACTCAGCCACCATGGTAAACTGTCTCCACATCCTGGCACATACTCTTGATAC